ATATATATATATATATATATATATATATATATATATATATATATATATATATGCATGCATGGGGTAACATCTGGAAACCCTGAAAGTTGTTTATAATAAAATGTTTTTAACTACATGGCAAATGCTTGTGAGAGTGCGGTAAACAAAACCATAATCTGATCCAATTATGATGCACCCTCATAATAAAAATACAAAACAAATGAAATCAGTAAATTGGAAAATAATCATGGTATTTGTGCTACTTTATATGATTCTACTCACTCATCTAGCAATATAGATATAAATACAAGTATTTTGAAAAATTGTAACAGTACAAATTAGCTTGTGTCCACGCAGAAATATGCTCAGTGATACTTTCATGTATATGATAGGGCTGACAATATAAATCTAAATCTGGAAAAAACCATCTATTGAATTCAGTGGTCCAGGCAACTATCCATCAGATGGCAATCTAAGTTTCAATAAAAACTATGGAACTTACATGTTTAAGCCCTCACATTTAATTAATCGTATGTGATCACTAGCAGATGACAACAACTTGATACATATAATTAATCATCAATCACCGTGGCTAGAATGTCCCTGGAGTCACAAATAAGCTCAGTATTATCTCTTTATATATACAGTAAAATGTTCAACTACAATTTCACTCCTACACATTTTTTAAAAAGCTACCATTCACTAACATAAGTTCTCCTAATTTTGATAGTTTCCCATTAATTCTCTAAACAGTTTAATTTGCTATAATTAATAATATTTTTGATTTTGCCTTACATTTGTTCCAGCTGCCATGGGATTTCCAAGATCACAGATCACTGTTCTAGTTTCATTTTCCATCTTATAATCACAGCTCAGCACACGTAGTGCCTGTAACCAAAGAACACCAACATGGAGTTGAAAGGTCAATCCAGAATGTATCCTGTTGGAAAAATGAATGGCCTTCAGATAGCAAGATTACTGCTGATTTCAAACAGCTGTACAGAAGTCTAAACATTCATTCATGAATGATAAAATTGACATTCAAAAAAGAACAAACTAGGTATAAATGAAACAGGGAGAGATCACCGGTATTATTTTCACTATATCTCAAGTATACTAGGTTGGAAAATGACATTAATAAAGCTATTTTGCCCTAATATTCTGATAGGAGAATTGGAATTCAGGATAACAATAGTACTTAGACTTATATACTGCTTCATGGTGGTTTACAGAGTGGTTTACTGCTCCAAGTGGTTTACAGAGTCAGCAATACAATATATTTTTCCTGAACTCAATATATTTTTGCTGATCTCTGTTTAAATTTTGGTAGTAATATTTATGTTAGCAAGCATACTGCCATAAAACAACATAAAATTAAAAACAAAATAATCCTATAAAATTTAAAAGGCAAAATTGCTGTAATCTTTAAAATGACATATATATGAAGATATAAGACTCAATGAGAAATTTGTTCAGCTTTTGTTTACAGTAGTGGAAATTTGCTTTAGTAATTTTCTGAAGCTAGATATGAATTTAAATGGAATTATACGTTAACATACAAACATAATGTATATTATAGGAAAAACGCTTGCAAAAATATGTGATAAGAGAAAGTACATGTAAAAATATTTGTATTAGGATAAAAAGGCTTAAAATGTACATTTGTTTTTATCTTAGCCTAATATAGGACATGGTTTGAAGAGATTAAAGTTGGAAAAGTGGTCCATGCCTATGTATAAATAGCACAACTCAAATTTAAAACACATGAACTCACAATTTTGAGGTACACCTCTAGTGCTAAATGTATTGTAAATGACTAGTACTATAACATCTAGACAATGGCTGATTAGTCGGGGCTACGTATGATTTATGTTTAGCTTAAGTACTGAAAAAAAAATCCAAAATAGCTTAATATGTTGAAGACTTTTATTTCCCTAGTATAAATCCAGTGCTAACTTTTTGTGTATTATCTTTGATCTTTGGATCAGCTATCTGAATGAACATAACGAAGCAGGGGATGATCAGCAGGAGAAGCATAGAAAGTTGTAAGACATTAGAAATTACATAAAAACAAAACACGTATTTTATCTTTTTTTAACACAATTCACTGAAGAAATAACATTTCAAAATGCATACAAAATGCTTTTAAAAATCATAATGTGATTGGAATGACTGCTATGCATGTTACTAAGCAATGTATCTTTTGCAATCTGATGGCTTCCAGATGTATTTATTATCATTCCCATCATTTACAAATGTTATGGCCAATAGGATAAGCTAATTATTCCAGATGAGGCAAAAAACCTGCTAGATATTTAAAAAGATATCTGTGTACCTGTACTAAAATACTATGATAAATGCTTCAGTTCTAACTAAACTAAGATATGATCTAACACTGTAGCTCATAATTAGATCCTCTGGAACAAACCTATGATATCAATATTGGTGCTGTTTTAAAGAAATCATGAATAAACTGAGAAGGAACTACAGCATTCTTAAAACAATCATCTGATAATATATTGTGCTCCCATTAAAAAAACTGTAGTTTGAAGTCATATCAAGTTATAGTGCATATGTTTTTGAAAAGAAAGACATGGTCTGTGAAAAGAAGAAAATAATTACAAACAGAATTGGCTGGGATTTTTATTGATCACATTGGCATATCTAGAAACAGTTCTAAAACCTACAATACCTGGGAAGCAAACTGTTTTGTTTGTTTTAATCGCAACACATGGCTTATTTTACAGCTCTGAACATATGGAAAGCCTTGTGAATTAACCTCAGAATAATCTGGAATTGTTTCAAGGGAAAACTGCTGAAAAGTATTGGGAAAAGTGATAACCTAGAAAAATTATTGGATGAACAGTTTTAATCTTTACATCTGGCAAAAAAAATTCATGACGATGATTAATCATTTATCAATCTGTGTTTCCAAAAATATCAATGCCCTGATTTTAAAAATTCAACAAGAAATCAATATTTGAGCTCTTGAAAGCTCCAAGCTCTTAAATTCTCATAGAATCAACAGGATTACCAGGAAGTACTGTACTTGGAAATTTATGGTTGTTTTGCAGAAAGCAAATACGTCCTCTCACTTACAGTCAGCTATCAAACTAAATGATTGGAGAGATTTTTTTTTAGCTCTGCCTGGAGCTACAGAAAACTAGAGCATGTTTACCAGCTTACCATATAGATAAAATATCTATTAAATGAATAATAAATAATCAAAATACATCCAACTGCATTAAGTCAGGATATTTTAAGAAATGGGTATACAAACACAAGATAAACTTTTTGTAACCTTAAAAGCAAACCATTTAATAGCATTATAGTAATTCCAATCCTGGTTGTGGTTAAATACATAAAGATTTAAAAATCCTGTTTGTTGTTAAATATATTAATTAAAGTTTGATTCAATCAAATAATATTTTCATAAAGTTATTTCCAACACAATAACAAAAAAAATCATTTTTAGAAAGGAAATTATCTGGGCACAACCTGTTTTCCTTTTTGGAGTATCATACTTTAAATTATTCAAAATAAAGTTCATGATGCATCAACTTTCAACAGTTTGCAGTCAGATAAAATGAAATATTAGTCTTACCCGGTGGTACATGCATGAATCGTTGGTGCATCTAAAGAATAGGATCTCATCTTAGTTTCAAAAGAAGAATCTCTTCTTTATATCTTTTAAGTAAAATGTACTACCTCCAGATCAGTTCATTGCTATACTTGCTACACTTGTTCTAAATAAAGCTATTGAGACATTTTCATAACCTATCTTCCCATAACTGCAACTATCTGATAAGGATTTTACTGAAATATATATTATTTATTTCAAAATCTGGGTCACATTTTAGGAACGTGTGAACCTTTAGCTCAGTTCAAAAATCAAATTCTGAAGTGATTTATTTGAATCATGTTTTCAAACCTAGTCTCTGAACTGAACTTCCAAAATAATTTTATACACTAAAACAGGTGTATTTGAATTAATGAGATGTTACATATTTTTATTCAACTGAACTGAATTTTCAAACTGGATTGATGATTGGAATCAATCATGCAAGTCAAATTGCAAATCTGAATCAACTAATTATTAAAATTAAATTCTACTATATACTGAATTGATATACTTCAGTTTATTTATTTATTATTTATACGCACTGCCCATCAAGTCTAGAGTTGTTAGGTTTCTCTCCACCCATCCCACACCTCCCCACCTCCAAATGCTATAATTTTGTGCAGATTTTGGTTACAAATTCTCCAGTGGAGACAAAAATAATTGGTATTTCTGTTGGCCATTACCTTGTTATTCCGCTCAACACCTGTGTAATCTGCTTCTGGGGGTATTGTTATATGCAGCTCGGCTTCATAGGCACCTTCTCCTTCATTTCTTGAATTGATTGTAAGCATGAGATAGTTTTCTTCCCCAATTACAATCTGATCCCTATCTCTACAAAAAAGTGTTACAATCCAATCCATTATTGTGAGAATAAGATATATGTTATAAGGTTAGAACTGCAGTTAGTTATGTTCCTGTAAGCATTCCTGTGACAAATTCTGAGTGAAAGTAAATACTATATAAACAGCTTGGCTCTAATGAAGCAAAATGTTTGCTTTTTTTGCTTAAATAAACAAAGTTTCAAGAAGCAAAATATACAGAAGGGATTTGGATTTTATAACTGCAAGAAACCTTTGATGCTGTACATTTGACAAATTGCAAAAAGTAAACTAAAGACTAAAGTTAGCTCTCAACATGCAGCACTTAAAATTGATTTCTAATTGCATGCATGCCCTTTCCAATTACTCTACTATTGTACTGTATACTTTCCCTCTACACATTTTTAATGAACACCTTTATTCCATTAAGTACAATACATATGTTTACTTGTTTCAACTTACGGCATAACGGAAAGTTTCAAGTCAGGAATGCACACGTTGTCTTCTCCACAATCCACAAGAATGTATGCCTAAATTGTCCAAAACATGCATTGCTCATGTTAGAGCTTTTTGGCAGGAATTCCAGCCATTTCCTTTCTTACTTTTTGTTTCTTTTGATAGCCATTATAAATATCTTCCCTCAAGATTTTGATCCTTCCAAACTCTGATCTTAATACAACAAGCCACACTCAGTTACTTATATATGTAAAGCCAGGTTATGTTCTGCATACTGGGTGTGTATACATATTTTTCCCATTCTGAGGCAAGGCAAATGCTCTCACATCTTGTTATTGTTAGTTAGAATGAAAACTCTACAAGAATGAGAACTCTTTGAAAATGCAGTTGGAGGAGGGTAACAAATTTAAGGTTAGTGTGGTTCAATTAACTCACCACAATGAACTAATTTGGCTCAAGTTGCTAAGGGAATGCTGAAACTGCTAAATAGACCATCTTATAGAAAAGACTTCACAATGTGATAGAATTTGCATGCAAAGACACATACCTCTTCCTCCATTCTGTTTTCTTGATAATAGTTCAATATTGGGCTCACAGCTAATGCATCAGAAAATGTGGATCCATCCAGTTTATAGTTCAAGCTAATATTGATTGGAGACAATTTATCTCTAAATTCAGTTTCATCCTATAGGAATTAAATTATAGGAATCTAAATGTTGATCTATACCAATCATCATTCTTTATGAATGCACAAAAGAAATATTTGATCTTTATTTCAATAATAAAATAATAAAATATTCCAGTCCTATGACTATTTAGATGTTAGGATGACTACTTCCATTGGAATGCACTTTTCATCACAAATAAATATGCATAGGCTCAGAGGCTAAGACATTTAAAAAGACAAAGAACAAATTATTAATTTATATTAAAGCTTCTATGACACTTTGCCTCCATATATATAAGAAATGGTTACCTAAATTTATTTCAAAAGTGATACAATGGTAAAATATTGGACTGGAGAAATCCAGATTCAAATCCACACTACATTATGAACCTCATCAGATCAACCATTATCTCTCAGAGGAACCTAGCTTGTGGGTTTCTGTGGAAAAAATGAGGGAGGGAGGGAGGGAGGGAGGGAGGGAGGAAGGAAGGAAGGAAGGAAGGAAGGAAGGAAGGAAGGAAGGAAGGAAGGAAAGAAAATTCTATGGCCTTCCATATAGTTCTGGATTGGTCAAGTAGATAGGGAACTGAGACTGAGCTCATTTCAGAACAAAACAAAACTTTCAACTACTCTGTTAAATATACAAACATTAAATGCACTTCAGCAAAGAACTCTGGAGATTCCACCAATCTAAAAGGCCCAACTGATTCTATATTTTCTATAACAAGTATATTTGTTTCTGTGCCTTTCTGAAAAGTTAATTGAAAAATCATCCTCCACATAAGCAACACCACAGAAACAGAATTGAATTCAGCTACTGAAATTGAATATATCTGATGTTCTTGCAACATCTGCAAACACTATTTATACATTTGGGTAATGTATATGTGAGTATTATTACTGTATTTGCATATATTTGATCTCAATTGGCACTAATATACTGTAGTCTATCTCATCAAATCTGATGTCGAATATATTCCATATATTTTGTGAATTTTAGATGTGTTTAAGTATTTTATATTAGCACATGAAAGCCATTTCAATATCTGATATTTCTCAATTGACATTTCACAATTCATATAGAAAGAATTTACTATTTAACAGTTCTGATAGCTGTTCTAATGTATCATAAGGTCAAGATACTAACTTTAGGGAAACAATTTTTGCACTGAAATTTGCTGTGATATTTCATTATGTGACTGCCTTGTCACAGAAAGTTTTGGGGACGTATACTAGAGTCTACACTGATATTAAATAGGGTTGTATTATATTTCATCACTGACAACTGTGAAGTGGTTGTGCATTTTCACGTGGTTTGCATTGTAAAAAATGTGATGGGCAATAGAAATAAGACAATATTTCATGAACTTCAAATATTGCATTGTAATTTGAACAATCAACAAGCAATCTTTTGAGAAAAAATTAAAAACCCAAAAATAATTTCTTTGATTTTCACCAAAATGTTGAACACTTAATAAAGGAGAAAATAATCTTTAATTTGTACGATTTAGATAGATTCAAATTTTTCTTAATGCTATATGTACAGTCCAAATAAGGTAAATGGGATCAATAATACACCTAATGTGTAACTCATTATTTTATCTCCCTCATTTGTTGAGTGTTTCAGTAAAGTACGGTTATCTTTTGACTATTATAAGTTTGAAGGAGAAAGCTATTATTATTCTAAAGCCATATAATTAAAATACATCAGATTTACAAAATCAATTACATTATTTTAATTTATTTTACCTGTCATTGTATACTCATCCATATTCAAACTAATTCCAGAATAACTATCCTGAAAGTATGATTTTCTTGACCAGCAAAGAACAAAACTTACTCTAAGATAAACCACAAAGTCCTTGCAAGTGAGCCAATTCTGTGTAGTTATCATGAAGGAGAAGACATGCTGTGACTGATGATAATCAAGGAAGAGAGTCCTCTTAACAGCTCCTTTGGTTTTTAGTGAATCTAACTGTAGTTCAGCTTTCAGAACTAAAGAACATTAGGAAACAAAATGTTGTAAAAGGCAAATACTGTCCTTCACATTCTGCTTTGATTTAAAAGAAAGCTGCTGTTTTTGTAGCTTCTATACATTCAGTGAATCAACTGTCTTTTTCTGTAAGTAGGATATCTAGGTATTTCTTATGCTATTATAAGGCAGAAAACAAGGATTATTGTGAATTCTTCACTGCCTTTTAACTATAAATTCACCACATCAAAACAAAAATGTACAATATTTCTACAATACTCTCCCAAGTAAAATGGTTCTAAATTTTACATTTTTGATAGAGCCAATGCTTTCACAGCAGAACTAATACCAGCTATTTATTCCCACAAAGATAGATGTTATTATCTCTATTTAATAATAGAGACATTTATTATTATTGTTGTTGATATTATTATTATTATTATTATTATTATTATATAATTATATAAAATCATTATCATTATTATTATTTCATAATAATGTATATTTCATGACATTATTTGAATGGCTAAATTCTATGCTGGGATAAGTGCTGGATTAAGTGGCAATAGCTGTCCTCATCCCACAGAGGCTCTGAGAAAATGAAGACAAAATTCAGGCAAACTGGGAAAATAAGATAATTGCTGCAATTGCCTTCATCCAGCACTTCTCTTCAGACTGAGAAATTAAAGAAATGCCCAAATTCAGAAAGTGCCACTACTCTTCCTCTCATAGCCACCTATTCTCTTGTGCTTTCTGGCTAAAGCCCCACATTAAATCTTCTATAATCTAGACCAAGATATTTCAACCTGTATTTCATGGAACCCTAAATTCTGTGAGAACTTGATGGGATTAAGAGAAAGATTTTAAAAAGTAAAAGTTCACTTGAATCCAGCCAATTTTCTATCACTATTGCTTTATCTTTTATGCAGGAGTTCAAGGTCTTTTTCTTTTTGTTTTTTTGTAATTAACAGGTTTTGTAGCCTGAAAAAGTTTGAAATCTTTATGGATAAGAATCTAGAGCAGTGTTTCTAAACCAGAGTGGCAAGCTAGAGTTGAAGTCCATACATCTTAAAGTTGCTGGGGATTCTTGTCCTTAAGGATTTCACAATTTTCTCTTTTGGCTCAAAACTGTATCATTATCTGAGAAATACTCAGTGTTGAATAAAAATTAAGTCACTCTCCTCGCAGCTCTCTTGCTGGTCTGAGGATACAGCCCTGCCCTGAGGATACAGCCCTCAATTTCAGAGTCATCACTTCTCCTGTCTGAGAAAATATATGGCTATATATACAGCTGGGTCATCTTGAAAATTCACAATCAACACTAGCAGGAATGGTACCATTGAAGCACCAAGCCCTGCCAATCTTTTTGAGTCCTTTGCTGAGTAGTATATATTATATCCACTTCCAGCTGTACTAGGAAAAGCAGCAATCTGAAGATCACCTAAATATGAGGGAAGATTATTTAAAATGGAATATGAACCACTTACTACTAAATAAATACTGGCTGTTAATTCATAATCATGTTTCATGGGCTTAGATTTTGTCTCATTACCTGGTTTCTTATAGCACAGCGACTGCAAAATATACACTTATTTATTTGTTCACTAATTTAGGATAGATGGCAGAACAGTTTACAAACAAAAAAGTAAAAACAAACAAAATCAACTAATCAAGACAATGAAAAAATTCAAACTAAGAAGAGCTAATAATGAGGACTCTGTCTGACGATCACCCAAAAACCTCAATCTCATATTAACCAGGCAACCCAATATTTTTGCAATATTTTGTATTGACTGCCAGTTGGCTAAAAGATGCAATTCAATATTCTCATCACCTTCAAAATCTTATATGGTTTGGGATGTGGATCAGTCCACTCAAGTGTGCTGAAAAGTGTGCTTGCTAAGATTCCCATTCTTTGTCAGGTATGTCCAGAAGAGAGTTGAAGGCCAGCATTCTCTGCAGAGGTTTCCCTCCTGTGATATACCCTCATCAAAATGTTAGACATACATTCCTTTTTAATATTTGGAAAACTATTAAAATATAGTTTTCCATTGTGCATTTGAAGACTGATGTAGAAATACTGTAGACAAAATGTCTGACTATGAAATGAATTCTCTTATTGAAGAATGCTACATGGTGCTATAATTATAATATACTATAGTAATTGTTTATATTTATGGTTTGATGTATTTAATACTTTTCTTTGATTGTTGCATTATTCTGTTTTTATATGTTGCTGTTTATAGTAAAATATTTAATGGACCCATTACGACATTTAAAAAGCAAGAATAAAATCTAATACAATGAAGATTTAATGTCTGCTGAAGTGGAAATTTTTAGCTTCTCATCTTAAATAATTCCAGTGAATATATCAACTGCCTCCTCCTTGACTGTTTATTCTTTTAAAGACTAGAGATAAGTCCTTAATAGAATAAATCGTTTATTTTCTTAAGGACAATTCAAATAAGAACTCTGAAGAAGATTTTAATAATTGAGAAGAAACAAATGAAATAAGGTTTCAAGGATAAGAGGTTTATCATTCACTTCATTTGTGTTCTTGAAATTAAAGGTCAAAGTAGTTATGATATTAATTGCATGTATTTGTCAAAGTGAAATCTTTTCTTAACATGGCAATAGCAACTTATGGAAGCAAATTTTTGGAAGAATTGTGTCAGAATCCTAAATTCTCCTGTCACCTGTTAAACTTCCAGCATGGTGGTTTCCATATGTGTTGGTTACAATTCCCACAACCTAGAATTTGTATGACCTTTAATTACATATAATGGAGAGTTATGGAATTTGAAGTTCTGGAGGACTCTGGGCTGAGGATGGTTGACTTAAAGCTTTTATCAGCAGCAGCAAAAAGTATGCTTGTTATTTGCATTCCTGGCATAAGCACCTAGTTTTAAGAATGTTAACATTTGACTATAAGAATGTTAAATTGTGCAGACCATAAATAGATCCTTAACTTTTAAAATATCACTCAATGTTCTCATGCAAAATTTCAAACTCCCCCCAAATCCTGCAACCTTCAGTGCCAACATGCAAATATTAAAAAAGACTTACCTATTTTATCTGAAAAACCTGGACTTTGAAAATCTGCACAAACTGTTACAGTAAAACTGTAAAGGAAAGGGGGAAACACTCTTATTGAAGTTCTAGTACACATTTAAACAAACCTTATTAACATGTGTTTTCTTTTGTCTTTTCCTTTATAAAACCTGCCATATAAAACATCCTGCTCAAATAGCGTTTTGATTATTCATTCATCCATGCTTAACTAAAAAAAACCTAATTCTGATTTTTTTTTCTAAATTATCTTCCTAGACAATATCATTAAATAATTATGTTTTTTAAACCAGGGATCTCTAGCTCTTAAATACCAAGACCTATGCCCAGTCGTCTAACAAAATCAAAATAATCAAAAAATGTAGAAATTTGGACATGGTTTCTCACAATTTTTAGTTAAATAACATTTACAGGAGCACAAATCACTGATGGATTTAACAAATCTATTTTACATATCCTAACTAAATGGCAGCTCATCCTTTTAGAGATATTATTCCTTACCATTAGGTCAATTTTTTTTAAAGATGCATATTGTGATTGGTTTGCTGTTTAATTGGTCTGTTGTAAACTTGGCCTTAGCTTCCAGGGATAATTATTACACTGCGGCATTAAATATTTTATATATCCCATTTATCTGGCTATTGCCTAGTCATTGTTATGATTGTTAAATCATAATCACATAAATCAAAAAGCATTTCAGTTATATGACTTTCTCCTGTATATAAATACAATATAAATTTTATAATAATAATATAAATTTTAATCAGCTTATATTCAAAGGGCTTTAAGAAATAACCACATATAGATGGTTAAATCATTATAGACCCCACCACCACTACTACAGATGAATGGAATACATACATTTTGTACCACAGAACTACAATTTACTGCTAATCAATATTGCAGTAATTTTATTTATATATCACATTTAGAAACTGTCCTTCTTCATAGAGAAACTCTGGGCAGTGTACAAGATCCATCATGTATGATTTGATCTCGAAGACAGTCTCTGTCAGTATATTCCAAACTGTGTAAATTAGCCAAAATTAGTAAAAATGTTTTTTCTTTGGGTAACATCATACAAACCCATTATCCAGTCACAACGTGGACATTTAAATAAAGACTTACTGATAAATGGTGAAAAGAAAAAAAAGAAAAAAAATCTTCAAAAAAAGGGGGGGAAACAGGGCCAGGAAACTATAGACCAATCAGCCTAACATCAATACCTGAGAAGATACTGGAAAAGATAATAAAAAAACAGATCTGCAAACACTAGAAACAAATAAAGTTATAACTACAAGCCAATATATATTTGTTAAAAGCAAATCATGGCTAACCACTTTTATTTCATTCTTTGACAAAGTGATTAAATTAGTAGACCAGCAAAATGCTGTGAACAGTGGTGGGATTCAAATATGTTAACAACCGGTTCTCTGTGTGGATGCTGCTTCTGGAAATCCGTTCTGTTGTCCGTTCTGGGCAACAAAAAATTAGCTATCGGTTTTGCCGAACTGGTGTAAACCGGCTGAATCCCACCACTGGCTGTGGACATAATATACTTAGACTTCAGCAAGGCATTCGACAAAATAGACCATAACATACTTCTTGGTAAGCTAAAAAAATGTGGGATAGACAGCATCATCACCAGATGGATTTATAACTGGCTGACAAACTATACTCAATTCTTAATGGCATTACATCTATATGGAGGAAAGTAAGTAGTGGTTCTGTCTTAGGCCCAGCAATCTTCAATATTTTCATACTATAAATGACTTAGATGAGGAAATAGAAGGGGAACTCATCAAATTTGTGAATGACACTAACAGGAATAGCCAACACCCCAGAAGACAAGCTCAGGATCCAAAAAGATCTTGACAGACTTGAACAATGGGCCCTATCTAACAAAATGAAATTTAATGTGGAGAAAAGCCAGGTTATTCACTTAGGCAGGAAAAACCAAGTACAAGTACACAAGTACACATTAGGTGAAACCTGGCTCAAAAACAGTAACTGTGAGAGGGATCTTTCTTAAATATGAGCCAGCAGTGTGTGGCAGCAGCAAAAAAGCTATCCTTGGTTGTATAAACAGAGGCATAGGATCAAAATCATGTGAAGTATTAGTACCGCTTTATAAAGCCTTAGTAAGACCACACCTGGAATACTGCATCTAGTTTTGGTCACATTACAAAAAAGATATTAAGACTTGGGGAAAAGTTCAGAGAAAAACAACTAGGATGACTAAAACATATGAAGAACAGTTGCAGGATTTGAGTATGGCTAGTCTAGAGAAAAGAAGCACTAGGGGTGACATGATAGCAGTATTCCAGTATTTGAAGGGCTGCCATAAAGAAGAGGGGGTCAACTTATTTTCCAAAGCACCAGAGGGCGGGACAAGAAACAATGGGTGGAAACTAATCAAGGAGAAAAGCAATCTGGAATTAAGGAGCCACTTCCTAACAGTGAGAAGAATTAACCAGTGGAACAGCTTGCCTTCAGAAATTTTGGGTGCTTCATCACTGGAGATTTTTAAGAAGAGGCTGGACAGCCACTTGCCTCAAATTGTATAGGGTCTTTTGCTTGAGCAAGGGGTTGGAGTAGAAGACTTCCAAGATCTCTTTCAGCTCTATTCTGATTAATTGAAAGGTCTTTCTTATAAGGGATTTTGGATAATGAAGGAAAAGATTTGGTAAGCACTGGTTTGAATGTTCAAAGCTATATAAGAAAAACAAAAGCCGTACACAGCATAATGTGTTAGCTTTTCTCAGTGAAGCTTTCTCTCAAAGGGTATAAATGGCTGGGAATTATCAGGGATACAAGTTTGGGGTGGCGGTTTTACAGAAATTACATATTTCTAATATAGCAGCAAAGTATTCCACATATTAAGTCTTCTTAGATGCCAGAATTGGGCAAAACTGTAGAATATATATAAGCACTTCACATTTACCCAATAATGTCATTACTATCATTACAATGCAAAAACTCTTATATTACTTAATTATAAAAATGGAGAATTGCAAAATATATAAAAAAGTACTTTCAGTAAATTATAGTATACAAATAGCTCATTTTTAGTTCTATGTTACCAACATTATTCAACCTGGAGTTCTGTAATTGTATTAAACTTCAATTTTCCTAATTTGTTAATAGCATGTGTTCACCGGAAATTATGCAGGTTTAATTCATACCACCTAGTAAGAGAATCATACATAACTAAAAACAAAATAAGTTGAAGTTAAAGTCAATCTCTGAGTGTAGTAAATAAGGCTTATCATCATTGACTCCAACAGTTTTTAGGAAGAGTTATTTTACACTTTCCCAAGAATTATCAAATTCTTCTGGCTCTTCTGAGAAATAATTACCGTAAGATGTTTCTTAAAATGATGGGTCAAAAAAGGAGTGAAAAAAAAACCTTGCACATGGCATAATTACATGTGACAATTATACCTAAGCATGTAAATTAGTCTGATCTACCTTAAAGAGCTGAGAGATTCAAGGAGCTAATTATCTCTTTTGAAGCCCTGAATGGCACAGAGATTTTCTCTCCCTGAAGGTATCTGTTCCACTAGATCTGATAGGGCATAGGTGTTTCAGGTCCTTATCTTAAATATATGCCACTTAGTGGGACCAAGAAAGCAGGTCCTCTCAGCAATCACTCTGCCTTTTGAAACATCATTCCCTTTGAAATCCATCAGATCCATGAGATCCAACTTTAAGGACTTGGTTTTTCCTACAAATATTGGGACAATGTGAGGTTGGAGCCCAGTAATGTTCCTTGTGCATATGTGGGGACATATGTGGAGATACTGTTGCTTGTGAGCTGCCCAGAGTTATGTTGCATAAGATATAAAAACAAAAAATATATATCTAACTTTGAATCAAATAAATAAACAAATAATCTATCAATCAATCCAATGATTTACAATAAAGCCACCAAATAATTCTAACTTAAAATTTAGGACTACTGTTTTGTGTATCTATAAACATCAGCACAAAACATTAGGCATAATTATCTTAAGTCTCATTACTTTCAATAAATCTATAGCATGGCAATATAAACTTATTGATACCTGCAATAGATTGTTCTATTTGTTTTCCTTTTTTTCAAGTACATGTAATTAGAATATGTTTTATATGTCAACCTGTAACATTGGATGTTCCTGCTCTGACAACTGATGGAAATTGCAACCATTTTTACGTTGCTTTTAACATGCTTTTTCTTCTGTTTAGAAATTAGGTGTTGAAAGGGGGATGCTTGAGCTCAGCTAGCCATAATAACAATAAAGCTCCATGGGAACTCAAGGACACAAACTGATAATGTTTTGGCAGGCTGAGGAGCTGGGGAGAAGCCCGGGCTAATTGAAGAATGTGATTTATGATTGCTTTGTGGGGTTGGGACTTGCAACTTGTTACTTTGTATCTGGGGGAAGGGAATCTAGGTTTTGGGTTCAACTATGTAGTGCCGATACTTTGTTTCCTGAATAAAATGTTCTCTAAGGAATAATTCTTGCCTTAAGGTTCTTTAATGGGTTTCATCTATCGGAACCATGACATTATCTATATGGATGTGTTTTGGATGAAGCATGTAACCCTTAGCATCAAAATGATCCTTCTGTTGATTGATGCCACATTTTGCTGATTTACAGATATTCCTGCAGAAATATTGAAGAGTTGGGACACAGAAAGTAATTCAAATGCAAGCCAGCCTAAGATTATAGAGGGGGAACATGGTGGTGCAGGGGCTCAGTGACACTGGAACAGCTGGCCAAAAATGATCTGCACTCCAATGGTTTGAGCCAGGCTCCTGAGATGAGTGAGCTCCCATCGCTTGATCCTCCTCCTGTCCATCCAGTAAATTGAAGGCATGCAATATTGCAAGTATACAAATGCATACCACTTTGATTAGAAAAAAAATAGCTGTGTTCATGTGTCGGAAAGCAGAAGTTGCAGTTGGATGCGAGGCATCGTGACACAAGGTGAGGCATAACTGGCGCAGGAGCCCAGAAGAGCCAGCAACCCAAGCACCACTAGTTAATTGATGTAAAGCTAGTTCACCCGCCACGGTGCATCAATGATGGATGTGCAACCATCAGACAGAATGAACTAGCAATCTAGGTTGTTCGGACTGCATTACATCAGAGTAGATTTTCCTGATATTGTAAACCATGTGCTAAATAAATTCTATAGAGACTAAGAGCCATGGTGGCACAATGGTTAGAATGCAGTACAGCAGGCTACTTCTGCCGACTGCCAGTTGTCAGCAGTTCAAGTCTCACTTTGACTCAGCCTTCTATCCTTCCGAGGTCAGTAAAATGAAGACCCAGATTGTTGGGGGCAATATGCTGACTCTGTAAACGGCTTAGAGAGAGCGGTAAAGCACTGTGAAGTGGTATATAAATCTAAGTGCTATTGCTATTGTTATCACTAACTTAACTTGAATTCAATATTCAGCTTACTACATCATCCAAATTTTAAATATTTTTTTATGATTTCTATGTATGTAAGAAAACAAAGTTCATACATTTTAGTAACAATTCCCCATCTGATTCAAAACAATATTTTCTTTATACTTGATACTATTTTTACATTATAATTCAAATCTTTAGATTTCTTGGCCTTTTTAATGGTTCATATGATTTTTCATTCATTTCATCTTGAAATGTCAATCAAAAGGCTTTTTGCACAAGTTGCACAGCTGGCTAAGAGATACAGAAACCTATCCCATGGTGTGGAGGAAATATTTGTCTCTTGGAGTTTCCCTAATAATTGTTTGCATATGTATAACTTTAGGTTATAACTACAGAAAAAAATTACAGAATAAAAAACTAGCAACTGTTCTTCAATCATTTGGGAAGACTGGGTTAATTTTTTATAGTAAGAGTTAAATCTCCAGGGCACTGTATTTTATAATGTAATAGTACACTATAGCCATCTATCAACTATTGTATTCATGTAACACTTCCACTGATACATCTATCAGAAAAATCATATTTAAGCAATCTTTTTCTCATAAAATCCAGTTCAAAAATGCTAGGAGAAATCAGAATGTAATTGAGTTTTTCCTACTTATGTAGGAAAAAAAGAATTCTGACATGGTTAGATGAATTGAACAATATCCAGCTGTAGTCTCTCACAAATTAAATTCTTTGCAAATTAAAAGTATATCATAGAAATATATTTGAAACTATATGTGTGGAAATACTTGTGTTTTCTAAAGCATAAATTTATAATTATGTTCAAAATGTATTTAAAAAAAGTAAACCCACCAACATACAATGGAACATTCCATCAATTTTGACTCTCCTATTATTTTAGCTTGTTATCTGTAAATTAAGCTTCGATATATCTTCATCTCCAATTGCTTGGCCTCAAAACGTGTTGGATTTCAGTTCTCATAAGGCTACACTGGTTGTGCAACATAAATCTAGAGCAGGGGCTCCCAACCTGTGGCCGCGTGAAGGGATGGCTAGTGCATGCACATGTGTGCATGCAGTCACCCCCCATACTCACACTAGTGCCACCCTGAGCATCCCACCAGCACTAGGGCTGCTGAGCATCCCACTGGCTCTAGCGCCACCCCAAGTGTCCCGCTGGCACTAGTGCCACCCAAGTGTCCCGCTGGCACTAGCACTGCCCCATTTACAGCATTTGTGTTTGCATGGGTGCATGCACTTGCACATGGCCCATTTGTGTGTGTATATGCTTGCATAACGGTGCCTGCCTCCCTTTCCGGGCTGCCAAACCAAAAAGGTTGAGATCTAGAGAAAATTGGGTTGTCTATAGTAGTATAGCTATACAATCTACTTTTTTAGAGGTGATAAGTTCCAGTTGGGTAAATAAAGAAGCAATTAAGCACAATTAATTAAACTATATTTCTCAGCCTGCCTTGAAGAAGTATTTCGCAAACTAGACTAGGCAAAAGATGGAATAAAAATCAATGGCACTTATTTTAAATCACTTAAGATTTTTAGATGGTGTTATTTTCTTCTCACAATACTCAGAAAAGCTACAAAGACACATACAAGAGCTACACGAAGCAGGAGAACCATTTGGCTTAAAATTAAACCTGAAAAAGAGCCAGGTTATGTTTAATAAATTCACTAAAGAAAGAATTTTTTTATATCTGGAGAAAAACTAGACATAGTAGATCACTATATATACCCTGGCTAATGGATCTAAATGGAAGGTGGTACAATAAAGGAAATTGAATGGCGTTTTAAATGTGGTTGGTAGGCATTCAGCAAGTTTAGCATAATTTTCAAGAACAACCTTCCTCTATGCCTGAAGAGAAAAGTTTTCAATCAGTGTGTGCTACCTGTTCTAACATATGCCGGTAAAACATGGACACTAACCTCACAATCTATACAAAAGCTATGAGTGATGCAAAGAGCCATGGAAAGCTAAATGCTTGGCATTACAAGACAAGATAGACCTGCACATGGATTAGAGAACAACGAAAGTATACAATATCATCAAGAGAGTTAAAAGAAATGAAATGGAAATGGGCTGGTCTCATAGCAGGAAGAACTGATGGGAGATGGACCAAGGCAGTCATAGAATGGATCCCATTTGATAAAAAGCATCCATGAAAGAGTCTTAAAACAAGATGGATTGACAACATCAAAAAGTATTGTGGGCCCAATTGGAACAAGAAAGCTCAGGACCGTATTAGTTGGAAACATGTGGAAGAGGTCTTCATCCTGCAGTGGATAGACAATGGCTAAAATGATGATGATGAATTAAACTATATAGTCCTTCATGTTTCCATAGAAGGTATATCTTTCCATAGTTTGTTGATTGTTTAAAAATTCAAGCATTGATTATTATCTCTTATATACAGAGTACTGACCTATACTCAGCACAGTGTGATCATTAGACTTGCATTTAAGCTTCATGTACAATATGTCAATTTTTACTGAACATTATGAGTTTGTCTCAGTGGTAAGATTCAAATATGTGAACAACCGATTCTCTGTGTGGATGCTGCTTCCGGAACTCCATTCTAGGCCTGGACAACAAAAAATTAGCTACCGGTTCTGCCAAAGTGGTGCAAACCAGCTGAATCCCACCACTGGGTTGTCTTCAACGTTGCATTTACTCCAGAGAAATATTTAAAAAACAGCTTCTGATAATGATATCATTATCTGATATCTGACATCAGCCAGAGCATGGAAAAACTTAAAGAAGAAGTGGAGAGACCTGGCCCCTCAGGCTCACCAAGAGTCGGACATGATTCAATGTATAACATCGTCATCAGGTTTTGCATAAGATTTTTTTTGAGTTTCTGTTCAAGCATGTACAAACTAGGATTATAAACTGGCCAATGCCATAATGTGGAGATTGTGTAGTTTTGAATTAGCTTGGTCATAAATGTAAGAACTCAGTGAGAAAACCCATTTTGCAAGCAAACCAAGAAAGCTTGTCTGCAAAAAGTTTTTTATTTTTTCCAACCTACCAGGCCACTAAGGTCATAGAACCAGGAAGCTCACAGGTTTTATTTTCTGGATTTACAATCATTGGGGAGAGAAGAAGCTGAGCATTTATCGTCACAACTGGTCTTGCTCTGAAAGGCAATCAAAAGTAAATCAAAACATATTTGATAAAAACACAGAAGAGAAGACAAAAGGTGACTTTTTCAGTTTCTGTGGATGTTCATGAAATTTAGAATTACAGAAAATATAGATTACACTTCATGTACACAGTAAACATTCAAAACACCAGCAGGGACATGTATACAAAATACACAAATCAAGATGAGACAGATCTGTCTACAGGGATGATGCACAAAACTCTGCTTTCAATGTTAATGATTCACTCATGTCTGCATATATGATAGCATCTCTCTCTGATTTCTACTGATAGCAGTTAGCCAATACTCTACAGAAAAAGTTGCACAAGTAAGAGAAGATGGTTGTTCTTCTTACTAAGATTTAAAACAGCAGGGGTTTATTTTAACAAATAAACAAATAAAATGTATGCATCACATTCCAACAAAGTTCAAACGCAAATTATAAGGCTGCTGTTTCCAGCTGAGTATCACAATGCCTCAGGGTGCCACAGCAAACTCACAGGAACTCTACTGGATAACCCAGTGATATCCAACATATGTCAGACACCACACAAACTTTAAACCTAGAGGTACCATGAACAATTATTGAGATACTAAGGGAATTGTAAACCAAGAAAATTTGGGAATCTTTGCCACAGGGTGTTACTTTATACAATTCTAACATGGTAAAATATAAAACAAAATTAGTGCAAACCTATGCTTATTTACTCATATATAAACCTGAGTTCAGTGATATGCTGTAGATTAGAAACTTGAATTTAATCAATGGAGAACCATTTTATCAAAAAGTATTTATAGAGTGGGTCATTTAAAATTAATGGAATTAAATAAATCATGAAATCATCTGAAACCACCCTTTGATGTCACAATGAATGACATTTGAATGACAAAAAACCTAAAATGTTGTGTTATAAAATAACTATTTTTAAACTAAGTGTCTGCAACAATGTCTGAAGTTTTTATAGACAGATTTATAAATAAAAACTGCATGACTCAGTAGCAATCCAGGTACAAGCATCAAGTGTGAAATCCTTTTTTTTCCATCCAGATCCCCACAGCCTCCATGTACTGGACTGCCAAAGGAGGAAGTAGCAGGAGGAACAAAGCTAAGCCCAAGCACTTAATGCAAGGTTTGGTGTATGACCTGTCCTTGGCCTATCCTGGCCTGCCCATGTTCTGCACTGTTTCTTCTCAGAATAAGAGAAGATCTGTTTTGCCAGACTATCAGAAATATGTTCTGTGTATAGTACTTCTATTCTTCTGGACTATGAGTAACTGGCACTTACTGATATTGGTAAGGGGATATGCCACATTGTTTAGAGTAATCCTCACCTACAGAAATTCAAAGTTTGCTCTTTCCATAGTATGGTTGTAGACTGCAGGAAATGATTTGGCAGACTTATTATGCCCCACAGCTTTGGGAACCCAGCTCTGGAAGCAAGCATTGATTGATTTAGGTTACTTAAATGGCAGGGGCTTGACTGTACCTTCTGGATATCCCATACAGCACTTTCTCAGATGTCATTTGGGACTTCTTCTGAACCTTACATCCTCAATTTGGTTATATAAGTTCTTCTACTTGAGCAGGGGGCTGGACTAGAAGACCTCCTTTTCCAGCTCTATTCTATTCTAATTGGGCTTAGTTACGTGCAATAAATTTGCTACTATATCTATGGCTATCATGCTAGTGCTTACTCAAAATCAGTATGCAGAGTGACCAAAGCATTACAGAGGAGAGAAAGATATTCAATATTTGGCCCATTTTACCAATTGAAGAGATCAGGCTTTTAATATGTGTAAAACTGCCTCAACAATATAACGTTCCTTCTCAAACATACAGAGAATTTTTGCTCTTTTTACATTTTCTCTTTGTGATTAATATACAAGAAAAAAGGACCATTTTTTCCAGACTGTTTTATGGTATAAAATAGAAGACAGATCTTAAGCCAAAAAAGAAGGGTCATCACAGAAAGAGCAACTGAAAAAGACAAGACTAGAAGAAAATTATAAAGAAATTATTAAGGGGTTCATTTCCTTAATAGCATAGAAAGCAGACTAAAATAAATAAATACAGCATAAAATTATAGCAGTAGTTAAATTCTTCCATGCACACAACAGTGTAAAATCAATTTAAATGCTAACTATAACTCAACAACATGAACTTTTTCAAACATACTGCAGCCTCAAACTGTAAAGATCCCTGTTATGTAACTGTTTGTACAACCACTCTTTGATGATTATACAGTCTTACAAATCCAATAAACCCAGTTTTATTACTATTATTCTAAAGTAACTGATTTGCTTCTACCAAATAGAAATCTTTTTCTGAAATATTTTGGTTCTGTTATGAGTTCAAATACAGTTTGAAAGAATGGGCTTATGAAAGAATAGTTTTGCAATGTCAAAAACATTTTACATATGTATGTTTTTTTATTAAAAGATTAAGAGTAGAGAGAGTAGGAATACTAGCATTGCATACCTGTAAACAACTACCTTTCCAACTCCAAATGCACCAACAATTAGATCTGTGGGGAAAATACATATACGCGTTTTTAGAACAGGTGTAAAATAGTTAGCATAATAATTACAATTGACATTATTGTTATGAAAATTAATAAAACTACTAAATGTATAGCTATAGTATAGAAGCACAAAAATTCACAGAAACATTCATTTTTCTAAATTTATCTTAATTCAGATTCCAGGCATATTTTTAAACTCTCATTCCGATACAAACACACACATTCTTTTAATCAAAAAAGGCAATGACCCGGCTTCTACTCAAGTATCAAAGTATATTTTACTCCTCTTCATTATTTGTACCATTTCTTATCCATACTCTTTTCCATGCTCAAAACAATAATTAAACATTTCAGTCAAACAAAGAAACCCAGCCACAAAAATCTCTCTGTGGTACACTGTCTAAACAACTAGGATGGCTAATAGGTTGGCCCAAATGGAGGTCTGGGTGCTGGAGAAACATTAGGACCAAGATTTGTAAAACTAATAATGGATGGAAGACAATAAAAATATAAGTGGTGCAGTAGACTTCAGGCTGAAATAATTTAATTGGTTTTAACATAGTTGTTTTTATATAACTTCATCTCTTACTATTAAACAAGATACAACACTTAATAAAACAATATTTTTTAAAAATAATTATTTAAAATAATTATTAGGAATACAGTATTCAAAACATGTATCTTTGTGCCTTTCATAAATGTAAAACTTCACAGAAAATAGACTGATTTCCTTCTTTAGCTTGGTCTGGCTAAGGACTACTTTAAACATCCTGAGTGCCAAAATCATTAATGAGTTTTATAAACATTTTGAATTCTGCAAAAGAAAATAATCACAATCAAGTGTTCAAGTTGTCTACATTATCAGAGGTTTGGCAGCACTGTTATCCTAAAAATAGATGTTTTGGGGAATACTGTCATACTTCTTCCTAGAAAATACCAGACACAATTTGTTAGCTGAAAGCAAAATGTTTGACATATGCAGAATATTTTCAACAAAATAAACTATTATATTACTAAATGTTTATGGAGATTCTCAGTCATCCAGGTCGTAGTTATCCCAAAGATGCTTTTTTTTTCCACAAGGCAACTGGACTTTGTTTTTCTTTGAAGACGTTTCGCTTCTCATCCAAGAAGCTTCTTCAGCTCTGACTGGATGGTGGGGAATGGAAAGATTTATACTCCTTGCAGAGAGCTGTTCATTTGCATTCTTAGTCGTTAATGCTACCTGGAGGCTCATCTGTGTTTTCAGGGTCAGCCTTCTGGGAACTTTTGAAAGGACTATATTGTACACTGGAGATAGATGATGTCGTATCCCTCCCCTTCTGTTGACACAGATGGCCTGTTTGACCCCTCTTTCAAACCAGCAGTCCTCTCTGTGCAAAATGTGAACTTTACTATCTTCTTTTGAAAAAAAAATGGACATTTCTCTAGACATTACATAAATATTATATAATATAACGTTTTGGGGTTAACAAACATATCCACTGGATTTTTTTTTAAAAAAGGATTCTTCGTTATTTAAATTCACATTAGTAATATTAAAGAGATAAGCCTAATGAGTACATTAAAATACAGGAGTTCCCGATCACCACCATGCACATACAGTTACATTATGCCTTCCATAGGTCTAGATTCTACTTTTCTTTGGAGAAGGGGCTGGCCCAATGCCAGCCCCTTTAGGTACCTGCTTAATCATTATTTTCTACCCCAGGGTGCATCCATTATTGTAGCTTTATTGTATTGCTTTTCTGTATCAAACCTTATGCAATACAGAAAACTAGTCTATGCTGATCAGATTCACTCAGCTCTGATCCAGTTCAGTGACTGTTTACCAAGCTAAACCATAATACAATTGGTGAGATTTGTTTGGTTTTCATTTTCTTTTTATTAATTGTATTGAAAGATCAATCTATCTTCTAATATTTTTTCACACAGGACTTTTACTTTTTCTTCCTGTACTAAGGGTTTTACTTCCCATTTGTATTTGTTTTTCTTTCCACTTTTCTTTCTACAACAAAAATGATAGGATATCCTTTATTGGCCAAGTTCATTGGACACACAAGGAATTTGTCTCTAGTGCAGGGGTGTCAAACTCAATTTCATTGAGGGCCGCATCAGCATTGCGGTTGCCCTCAGAGTGCCAGGTGGGTGTGGCCAGGGTGGGTGCAGCCTACTGGGTGGGCGTGGATGGAGTGGGTGTGGCCTACTGGGTGGCTGTGACCAGCTCTACATCGTTTGCATCAAGGGTGCCTGTGGGGGCCTGGGCAGGAGTGGGATAAATCTGAGGGTCTCTGGCAGAAGGGAGTGGGACCAGGGCAAGTGCCAAGGCATGGTCCACTGGAGGAGCTCACTGTTCCTTTCAGGCCATGCGGGGGGGGGGCTTATGGAGCTAAGACTGAATACATTTCAGCATAGATGGCCACCACAAAATTGTACATTGGCTCCTGGCTGGCCTGGGCCAGGGCCAAGGCAGAGGGGGCCGTTCCCTCACTGTTTCCAGGATGGCTTCGCGGGCCACATGAAACACTTTGCGGGCCGCATCCGGCCCCCGGGCCTTGTTTCACATGTCTGCTCTAGTGCATAAGCTCTCAGTATACATACAAACAACAAAGTAATATATCAATAGGAGAAGGTAGTAGGAAAGTTGAGAAGGATAATAGTAATACAGCCCTATTACATTTATTTATTTATTTATTTATTTATTATTTTTTAAATTTATATCCCGCCCTTCTCCTTGCGGACTCAGGGCGGCTAACAACCGGATAAAAATACAAAAATACAAAAATATCAACTACATGGGTAAATATGCTTACGCATAAGACAGTGCTGTGGGTGTTCAGCAGAGTAATGGCACTGGGGAAAATTGTCTTTGTGTCTAGTTGTTTTGGCATGCAATGCCCTATAGCAGTATCCCAAGGGGAAGAGTTGAAACAGTTTACATCCAGGATGTGACGGGTCTGTACATATTTTCTCAGCCCTCTTTCTGACCTGTGCATATACAGGTCCTCAAAGGAAGGAAGGCTAGTTGCAATTGTTTTTTATGCAGTCCATTGAAGTCTGTACCTGTCATGTTTTGTTGCAATACCAAATCAGACAGTTATAAAAGTACAAATGACAGACTCAATCATTCCTCTGTAGAACTGTATCAGCAGATCTTTAGGCAATCTGGACTTTCTGAGTTGACAAGAAAGAACATTCTTTGTTGTGCCTTTTTAATAATGGTTCTAATGTTAGGTGTCCATTTTAAGCCTGGGAGATTACACAACCCAGAAACTTGAAGGCCTCTACTGCTGATAATGTATTGCCTAATATCATAAGAGACAACACAGGCAACACAGTATATAATAGAGTATATACTGTGTATATGTATATGTATACTATATACACATATATAATAGAGCCATGGTGGCACAGTGGTTACAATGCAGTACTGCAGGCTAACTTACTGCTCACTCCAGGACTTTGATCATGACTAGCTCAAGATTGACTTAGCCTTCCATCCTTCCAAGGTCGGTAAAATGAGGACCCAGATTGTTGGGGAATATATATTGACTCTGTAAAATTCTTAGATAGGGCTGTAAAGCACTATGAAGTGGTATATAAGTCTAAGTGCTATCATTATTGCTATTAGGTCTTCATCATCCTTTTGTACTTCATTCATTCTCCAACTTTCACCATAAACAATAAATCAACAAATTGCCAGTCTGAATGTTATCAATCTTTCTTGAGTATACAAATTATCTAACGATTTTCTGTACTCTTTTGTCTTTTCCTAGTCAGTCATCATATCACCAAACATTAATGCTGACTCTTTGAATCAGTTAACCAGCCACATGTGGACCTATGTTACCAAGTGATAGACAAACTACATTTTAACAAGTAATGAGAATGTCATATAAAACCTTGCTGAAGCTTTGCTAAAATCAAGATAGATTATATGCACATTACCCTTCTCCACTAAGGTAAATAATTTGTCAAGGAAGAACACTATATTGATGGTAGTACCTTCTAATATATCTTGTAAAGGAAACAAAATAGGATGATATGGCAGAAATGCGTGGGTGGGTACAAACACACTGTGTCATTAAAATATATTCTAGTATTAGTTAATTAACTAAAAATTCTAAAGGTTTTCCATAATTACATATGGATATCAATATTTCCTTTGCAAGTTTCTTAATAATATAGAAGGTTCAACTCATTATGTAAAAATTGATAAAGTGGAATTACTTTAACCAAGGAGTTGCCAAGCAAAAGGCCAAAGATAACACAGTGATATCCAATTTAGTCGAATCCCTTATTTGCTTAAATCTAATGGATAGAATTTTGCCAAACTAAAGCTATAACCTTCCACCCTAATAAATATATCCTGAGAAACTCTGAACCTCTTTTCCCCTCTGCTATTTAGCTCAAGACTTTACAATCTCTTAATTTGGACCGTTCTCTGGAATATACTAAGATAAGATAAGATAACCTTTATTGTCATTTTTTTACTGTCAGTACAACGGCACACATCAAAAATGAAATTTAGTTGCCTGCTCTCAAAGTGAAACACATACATGACACACATCTAAACATACTATGAACAACATATGTATAGACCCACATCCCTACATACACGTAGCAAATAAATATTAATACTGTCCATGTTGAATATATAACGGAAGGAGGAAGCTTGAGAGTTCACAAGGTTAATGCTATATGGAATGACTATGGCTGAATCTGGATGTTCTGCTACGGATACCACGAAGCCTCCTCCCAGAAGGTAACAAGGAAAACAGGTTGTGAAGAGGATGTGTAGTGTCCCAGATAATCTTACGGACCCTGCTCAAGCAACGCTTCTGTGCTATGTCCTGGATGGGAGGGAAGGAACTGCCAATGATCTTTTCAGCCATTCTCACCACTCTCTGCACCACCTTCCTGTCTGAAACAGTGATGCTTCCAAACCAGACTGTGATGGACCGTTCTCTGGAATATACTGCCTCCTCCCTGAAAAAGTTCTATGCTGCCAATGTTCTTCTCCACTGCTTCTTCAGATGCACATTGCATCCCAGGAATGATGTTATTCAAAAGCACATATATTTCTACTTCTATGTTTACAATTTGTCAAATCAAAAAATTTGATTGACCTATCAGGTAAAATATTTCTGAATCCCAAGTTCTATTGATTTCTCTACAAATAGTCCTCTATATGGAGAGTGGAAATATTCCAAACGAATGACTTTTATCAGCCAGTGACTCTAGAACATAGAATGGTAAAGTTGGAAAGGACCTTGGAGGTCTTCTAGTCCAATCCCCTGCTTGAGCAGGAGACCCTATACCATTTCAGATAAATGGTTGTCCAGTCTCTTTTTGAAAGCCTCTGTTAATTCATATGATTTTATAGATAAACCATATGAGCTTGCTTCAATATATTACCTGTTTATATTTTCCTACCACTTCTGTTATTATTATTATTATCATCCTATCTCCATCCCATTACCAGAAAATATTCAATTAAAGTGGAAGAGATGACTTAGCTTCACAAAGTTTTTTGAGCATAATAGTGGGAATACAAAGCACCCAAAACACATCTTCTAAAGCCTTTGTAAAGATATGAAGGAATAATATGGCACTTCAAATTTGCTTCTTTTTTCCTCTCTTTCAAAGTCAGTGGAGATGAGAACCCAGAAATACAACCTTAGCCAGATGGATGAAAATAAACAAAAGGGATAGGGAGAATGACTGAAAGCAGGTCAAAACACAAATCATCCCAAAACATTAGCAGGTTAACAGAACATAGTGGCAAAGATGTTCCAGAACACTTTTCCAAATGTCCCATTAATTACATGGAATGTATGCAAAAAATCTATGATTTGGATGGCAGCAACTGTCCTGTGTATGTTTATGCTACAAATGCTTGAGAGCCTTCTCAGACCTAGACACAGAAATGTTGTGTGTATTTGTATACTAATCCCAGAAAAAAGTAGTGATAGTAGTGGGAAAATGGATCCAATCAGATAAAAATGATGTTGTGCATTTAGACTACAAATAGTATTGGAAGACTGCCCTATATCACTTTCAAAATAAAGACCAAAAGCTTCAGCAGTAAAACAGTACTGAGAAATACCAGATGATATCAGTAAAATATTGATTCTTCAAGTAGAAACATTCAAGAAAAAACAAAGAAAAAATAACGAAAACAGCCCAATTTGAATCAAGCTAATACTGGTAGTTGGCAAGCAAATTTTACCTATTTATTTAATTTATATGCCACCCATTTCATCACCCAAATGATTCTTTAGATAAATAAAAATTTTACCATGCTTTGCCATCTATTCATAAGACCAGTCTTTTATAACCAGCAATAGTATTTAAATGAGGGGACCCTGATATGCTTTGCTTCAGAGTTCTCCAATCAGGAACCCTCCAGATATGTTAGAGCACTACTTCTTGAACCAGTGGAGACAGTGAGTTGTGGGGACTGATTGTGATAGAGATTGTCTTCCAACACATTGGGAAGGATCCTGTTTAGAAAAAACTATTTTAATTTTATTTAAGTGTATGAAATACAAATGGCTTATAACTAAATTCAATTGGTTTCAATTAAACGAATCCAATACAACATATAAATAATATAAGTTATTATAGTGCTCTTTAGAAAAGTTAGATAACAATGTAGCATGGCTGCAACAATGGATACGTTAACATTAATCATCTGAATTCTTAAGAAGAAAACATGAATTCTTCTGTTTTCTATCCAATAATAATATTGATCATTCCCTTTGTATATATGGTTGCCTCATGCTAAAAGTCTGATATATGTATTGAGCCATCAGATGAGTTAATAGGTCTTAAAACCTTAAACCTGTTGCATATTTCAGTCATCCACCATTTCATGTTTTTCAAATGTTGGGATGATTCCCATCATCTTTGAGTCTGTAAAAGGTTGTATCTAGAACATTTGAATGCTACTAGACTTTATAATGGACTTCAGATACTACAGCTTGCTTTCATTTTTAAAATCCCATTTTCAATCAATAAAATCCCATTTGTATATTCATATTTGTTAAACTGAGAGTTTACTGTTTTTGTTTTCACTGAGTTTAATATGACTAGGAAACTATGCTCATTTTATGTATCTATTTGGTACAATGTATTTAGTCCACAGCAGATGGCAGTGTCCAGCCAGTCTTGACTAATCATGAAAAACCAAGCAAGGTCAGACCTTGTTAATACTTGGATACTTGTAGTGACTAACAGGTCTATTATAACAAACTTGGAAGCTGAAAAAACATCCCAGAAGAAGGCAAAGGTAGACCATGTTTTTATTGTTCACAGGAAATCTCTAGGGACATGTCCATCAGGACTCCAGAGTCTTCAACTTCAAGGAGACACATATTTTAAACCATTTAAACTCTGAGCTTACAAATGGGCAAATGCCTTAAATGACTTAATTACTGATTGTCCATTTTGCTTTATAATGATGGTTTTATCTTCTTCTTCTTAAGAATTCAGGTGTTTTATATTAATATATCCATTGTTGGTATCTCAAAACAAGAAATAAAATATCTCCTTTACCCAAATTCTCTGCACACAAAAACAAAGGCAAGTCTACATTTTTAATCTCTGCTCCCCAAAACAGAACAGGCTGAGAATGATGCATTTTCTAGAGAAAGAAATCTTCCTCTGATGGAAGAAAGTTACCTGGATAATCATTTTGATCTATGTCTGAGTCTCCTCTCAAGGTAAATCCAAATCCTGCAGGCATAGATTGGGAGGCCCATAGGCCACTGAGAATCTGGGAAGGGTTAGGATTTAACCCATTTCTGTCTCCATTGTAGATGAATACCCTCCCCCTCTGATCTTCTCCTGCGAATGGAGCGCCTATGGCGACATCTGCAAAAGAAGCAAAATAAAACTGCATTGTTAGAAAGGCCACTGAAACAGTTCTACCTGTCCCGGGGAATAGCATTTACTCTGAGATCCAAATAGCTCCTCCCTCCCACCTTTTGTAAGGTCTGATTCTTTTTCTAGGCACTTGGTCAGGAATAATCTCTGACATAACCTGCATTATCTCATTTTTTAAAATTATTTTATTTTTATATTGTTATTTATAAAATGACAATCTAATAAAATAATTATAGTTATAAAATAAATTATTTATTTTATATTATTGTTTTATATTGCTGTTGCTTTACTTTTACACTATCTACATCATATGTCAAGTAAACAGCTATATAAATTGATTGACTAAATAAAGAAGTGCTTTGCCACCATGGCAGGAAATGTTTCAGCTAGTGCTTTGCAGAAAAAGATACCACTTTCCTTTTTTCTTCTACCAGTTTTTTTTTTCATTTTGATGACACAGAATTTGTGAGTAGTTCCTGCACTAATTTAATTATCAGGTAGTCAAGAAGTATAGATGAATATCCTATCTGTCAGCATACAGTTCTCTCTCCAGTAGTCTGTAGGGTTTCTGGCTTCCCCCTCTTCATTTAAATTCCAAGGGAAGACACCATGAAAAAGGCCTCAGAATCAGGTAGAAAAATAATGTCTCTTTCACAGAGGAAGAAAACTTTTGACAGACTGCAAGGTAGTTTTTGGCACAATGTTAAATTCAGTTAGTTTTGCTTTCACAATCACTAATGTTTGGGGCAGTATTTGAAAAGGTGTGAATAGTTTTAAAAGGAGAAGGGGGTATGGATCCATTGCTAAGCTAGTTGACTGACATTATTTGACCCAGGCCCTGTTTCCTGTTGCTAGAATGGAGGCGCTCCCCCCAGCTTCTTTAATAACAATTCAAGAGGGGTTTAAACACTTTTCTCTTTTCTCAGGCTTTTTAAACATGGATATTTTTACACATCTGGTTTTAATTATTATATTTGTTCTACTGAATTTTAACTGAATTTGAGACATTATAAACTTCCTAACAACCTATGAGTTTTAGTCCTCTCTTAGGCATGAAATCCAGGTGGGCCAGTCGTTCTGTCTCTCAGCCCAATTTACCTCACAGGATTGCTGTTGTGGGGAAAACAGGAGGAGGAAGGACTATTAGACATGTTCACTGCCTTGAATTATTTATAAAAATAATAAGGGCAGGATAAACAAATTAAAAAAAAAGAAATTGTTAACTGGAATCCACCAGAGTGAAAACTGTGACAATTCCATCATTCAATCCATTTAACCATTTTTGCAGTAGCACAACATCCTTCAGTAATTATGAAGGATGTACTTAGTATGTTTCCATCATTGTATCTGCATTTTGGACAAGAAAGTACCATATCAAGAGTTCAACTTTTGACAAGTCTCTATAGAAATACACTGGGATTTTTTGAGTAAAAGAAACTTTGCTATTGAAATATTCATCCCCCTAAGTTATTTATATGCATCTCTTTAAGATGACATAGTGACTTACCTCTATAACCATCCTGATTGAGATCTCCCAGGGGCGCAATAGAATTGCCAAATCGACCAAAAGCCTCAGTGCCAGACAGTGTCTGTGCTTCCTTGAAAGACAAGACAGCCTCTTGCAGATATAGATACACCTGTCCAACCTCTTTAGGGTTGCTCTCAAATTCACGTTCCATAAAGAGAGGAGCACCAACTAAGATGTCGTCCTTACTAGAGGGGAAGAAAGAAGGATAAAGGTCAAGACTGACATCCAAATTGGTTCAACTCAAAAAGTATGCTTGTTTTGCAGGAGAAAGACAAGCTGGACAATATGACTAAAGTAGTGTCACCCTGTCACAATACAAGCCCTGACCATTTTGTAAACGCATTGTGTTATCTCATGCATGTATGAAAATGGTGGAGCTTCTGGCGCAGCAGCATTTTGATCCTTTCATTATGGTAAAATTAGGGCTAGATTTCTATCTATTGAGAAGTTATCCATCCTTTTCCTTTTGTCTCTGAAAGTTCCTTACATGTAACATCTGGAAGGGACAAGGGTCACCTGTAAATTAAATGGCTCAGCAGTATCTACTTTGGGGGATAGAATACTGCTGAATCACTGGTAGATGAAAGGTTTATCCATTCTTAGTTTCTTTCCCTTTTGGTTTTTGTATATCTTTGCATGAATGAATGAATTCAAAATCTTAGGCTGTCTGTTTCACTGCCTCTGATCTTTGCTATACTTTGTTTTTCCAACTCCTAATTCAGATAACAAAAACAATGATGTCAATTTCACCTCCATTTGTTCTCTTTTGTTTCCAGTCTGTCCTGAGTTGTTCTAACAATGCACAGGGAGCTGGGTGTTTTAAAACATCTGGTTAGAGTAGACATTTTTAAACTTGAGAAACATTTCTGTTTGTCTGCATTTATAAATAGCCTTGCTTCAGAGCCAAGTTCAGGCTCAAAAAGGCAAATGGGATGGGGAGTGAAGCAGCAGCCTTTTAAATGTAACAGAACATTACAATTCACAGTAGTGTTTAATGCTATGCTATAAACTGTGCTTGCTACATACTGCTTCCAGTCAGGAACTTCAAAAAAGTCAAAATGGCTGGCATAAATGGAATAACCGTGTTTACTATCTTAAGTTTTTTTCATTCCCAGAAGATGTCCCCATTTCCAATGAAGGAGGCAATAGACTTCAATGCAGTTATTGAAACATGACAAAAAAAGTTTATTAGGGTACCAAGTCCTATTGTCTGCTTTCTATTGGCACTCTTTTTGCCATGGTATGAAGAGAAGGTGGAACAAAAATGATGTTTGATCTGACCAAGCATCAATCTTTGGCTTTCACGTATCCACATTTGTGCAGCATTTGTGTACCATAAATCAAGAAAATACTTGTACTCATGCACTGACCAGGAGAGCCTTAATTATTTTCTTTTAAGAAAATAACACTAAAAAAGCACATGTCGGCCACCCACTGAAACTTTATGCAATTCTTTTGTGTTCTATTGGGTAATTAGCAGCAGGAATTGTGGGCTAGCATCTGGGGTCACAAACATAGGCACTTAAAGCTTTGATATAGTATGGGTTGTATATTTTTACTAGGCATTTGATTTCAGCTCACATAAATAAATAACATTTCTATGACTCTTGTGCATAAGCTACCATGCTTCTGACCACAGGTACTGGGCCCTATTTAAATGAGTACTATTTTTCACTAACTATATTAGCAATGCAACCATGCCACTGTTATAACAAGAATATTATACATTCAACTTTTAATGTAAGGATTATATGTCCATAAGAATATATGCTTCAATTTCAGATTTGGGGTCTTGAACATTTTTTTCTGAGAGACAATTTGGTGCAGTGGTTAAGATGTTGAGCTCACTCCTGCAACACCATGGTTCAAGTCCCTGCTCAGTCATGGATATTCACTGGCTGGTTTTGGGCCACTCACTCCATCTCAGCCCAATCTCTCTCACGGGATTGTTATTGTGGGGGAAAATGGGAGGAAGAATGCTATGCACATTGCTTTCAACTCCTGAACAAAAGATGCAATATAAATATAACAGGTACATTTACAGGAAAGCACCAACGATGAGTAGCAACACTACTTTTCTTGTAAGGTTACAATAACAGAATTGTGTAAGCATGAACATACCTCTCCCTTCCCTTACTTTTGCTCTTCCCAAAATCAGAGAAGATCCCTTCTGAGACATTTTCTCTTCTCCTACCCCTCCTTAAGATTCAGATTTTGTTTATCAGGCCATTGTCTAGACTGCAGCTCTTCCTTTTGCTTCTCAAGGTCATTCTTCCATACCATTATAGTGTCCCCTGAATATCCTCAAATTTGATTAAATATTTCTTTACAGTATTTTGGCATTGTGATTCAATAATTCATATTGACACAAACGATGACTTAGTGCAGTGTGGGAGCCTAGCCAAATGTTTCTGACTAACAACAGCACCTATCAGAATTATGGGAGTTATAATCTAAAACATCTGGAGGGTACAAGATTGTTTCCCTTTAATGCACACAATGTAGCCAAACTTCCTAGGATTTTGAGAAATAAAATCCCATCTGGGCCCATTTTCAGTTTTGAACAACAGGTAGGGTAGTGATAAAAGGCCTCAAAAATATATCCTCCATATCCCAACATTTCTCAAAGCTATAAGGAAGCAGATCTTTTATCTTTCTCTTCTATCCATTCCCGCCTCCAGTTATGGAAAAATCTTCTCCCAGTCCAGATATTTCTTAAAAATTACTTGTTTTTGAAAGCTTGTCCAAGTCTGAGGAAAGTGGGAATCAACTGAACAAATTGGGAATTAGTTATAATGATAGAAACAAGTAAAAAAATACAAAACTTTTGAAAAATAATGTGATCTGCAATGTCTATGATGAGGAAAATTAAGTTTCTTATTTTATTGGGGATGCAATAGTTTTCATCGTAGCATTTTATAATTCAGTGTTTATTCTTGTATTTTCTAAAGTTTTAAATCTTATGTCCTAAAATATAAAAATTGAAATAAATCATATGCAACTGTCACCTCAGAAATCAATACACATTCCATAATTGTATTCTTGCTTCAGTTATAAATAGTCAGAAATGCAAGTGTAATATAGATCCTATTAAAATCAAAATATTCTAACAATTCCCTCTGCACATTAAAACAAACAATTTTAAGGTGCTAAATTAATACATCTTTTGGGAGTGCATAAAATAACGCATTCAGCTTACTAACACACTAAACTAAAATTCTGAAATAAATGAAAAGGAAAATGTTTCAAATAGAATAAATTGTAAAGGAAAAATGTAGGTGTTTGTCCTGACACTTGGCTATAGTTCATGTTACTGTTCCAAACTTCAGAGGGGCCAGGACTATTTTACAAAATAGGTTAAAGTCAGAACAAATGTGTGGGCAAAGCAAAACCAAAAGGTACCTCTATTTTCATTTTAAATTCAATTTTATTTCATTTGATTCAATTAAATATAATGTATATGATTATAATGCACTCAGATGAAGCTGAAAAACTATAAAGACCTGGCGGTTCCTCCAAGTGTTAAGCCAGGGTAAGACTGGACCACAGCAAATATATGGGGAGTATTTTTAGGGGGTAATTTTTGTATTTATTAGTTAGTATTAACAAGTTTCCATTTTTTATTGTTGCTGCTATAAGCCACCTAAGTTTGTTTTATATAAGATGGGCGGTCATCTTTTTTTAAATAAAAATGGTTATTTCTCAAAAAATTAATAATGATGCAATTTTCATATGAAAAAATACAATTTGGAAAAAAATTATAAAGTACTTGGGAACCACATCAAGACTTTAAGGACAATGATACATAGATTATGGCCTTTGTTGTTTACAATGTAGGATTAGTTTATTGCAATCTATTATTGTAGAATAACAGCAATGGAATTGTCACATAAGGATAAGGAAAAGAAAGTGTCTATTTTTATTTTAATCCACAAACTGGGACAACAGAACACCAAAAAATAAAATATATTAAAGAAAAATAATTGATTATTTCCTTTTGGTTTCTCAGACAATTGGTTTCATCATTATAGTATGTAGATTAATAAATTTTGCCACTATTCATGAAGATATTAATATTTATTAATGTTAGGAACTTTTGTAAAGGAGATTAAAATGAAAGGAGTTGTACTAGAATTGATCCTATATAAATAAATTAAGAACATTTTTTCAAAATAATTAGTTTCGGTTGGCCCGGAATATTCCCCTGGACTAAGCAAACAATTTAAGAATCCATAGGGTTGTTGTGAAAAAAAACGGGGAGGTGGGAGTGTCTTGAGTTTCTGAAAAATAGAGAGTAGAAATCCAGTCAGTCAGCCAGCCAATCAAGCATGTTTAAAATCCATCCGGAAAACTTAAACAGAGTACAATCACAAAATAATTTACTAGCAGCTTACCCATCGTTGTTAATGTCTGACACAGCAATTGTATATCCAAAGTAAGATGCCATCTGTTAAAAAATAATGTCATTTTTAATCAGTTATCAGCAAATTTTCATTCCATACCATCAAAAGAATGATTTTGTTCTTGACTATATACAGTATTGCATACTATTACAAAAAAAAAAAAATGTGTATTCATGAAGTTACCAGTTAGCTATGTGTGAAGTTATCTCTCTGTTTTATACTGTAAACTTTAATTGCTGTAATCCATATCTTGAAATACAGAATAATTTATAGAATTATCAAAAATTATTACCTGCTTGCCAGTGAAATTCTGAATAAAGGTCAGATCTGTGGAATTTATGATTGTGACCTGGAAATAAAAATGCTGTCAGACGTTCCATAAAGAGTTATATTTCACAATCTAGAATAGGATACATTAAGAATGGAATGGAATAGAATAACAGAGTTGGAAGGAACCTTGGAGGTCATCTAGTCCAACCCCCTGCTCAGGCAGGAAACCCTAAAACATTTCAAACAAATGGTTGTCCAAACTCTTCTTAAAAACTTCCAGTGTTGGAGCATTCACAACTTCTGGAGACAAGTTGTTCTAAAGATTAATTGTTCTAACTCTCAGGAAATTTCTCCTTAGTTCTAGGTTGCTCCTCTCCTTGATTAGTTTCCATCCATGGCTTTTTGTCCTGCCTTCAGGTGCTTTGGAGAATAGGTTTACTCTCTCTTCTTTGTGGCAAGTATCTATCATTCTCCTTAAAGCTTTGATGTGGTTTCCCAAATATTTCATAATTTCTTCCAAATTGTAATTTTTCATATGAAAATCATTACAGGGATCTATTTTTAAAAAAATTCCTCCCACACACCTTGGTATATATAAAATAATAAAGGAAAAAATGGCATTGACATAGGAAGCCATTACAAGAATGTGGGTGATTGCAGGACTTAAATCAATATCTTTGTTAGGTCTAAGGCCATGTTCTCAAATTAAGTCATGATGGACTATCCAATTCATCTCTTTTGAGAACTATGGTTCTAAGAATAACAAAGTTCTTATTCTCAGCATTTCTTTCAAATTTTTTAAATCAAGAAAAATACCCACTTTTGGCTTTCATGGAAAACCATCCAGGTCCATTTATAGGTAGCTCTCGTTTAGTAACCCTAATTGGGACTGGCAAACTCAGTTGTTAAGTGGTGTGATCTTTAAGTGAAACCATAACTGTCCTTATGATTTTACTTCAGTTTTCCTTTACTGTACTGTAAAGGTCACAAATGCAAGGATTAGTCATAAGTTACTTTTTCATCACTGTCATAACAGTGAATGGTTGTTAAACAAGGCAGTTATTAAACAAGGACTACCTGTATGGAGAAAGGAGGAAACAAAAAAAAGCAAGATAGGTGGCCAGATCTTGTAATGAAAGCTCTGACCTTTTTAAACGTATTTTGCATGTTTGATGCATAGAAAAAAGAAATGGAGCTGATCACACAGTCCCAGCTTCCATTTTAACTTTTTGCAGCCCTACTCCAATGCTTTAGAATTACCTGAGAAAACTGTAAAGTAAAAGTTTCCCTGCCTAGTTCTGTCCAACTTAGGGGACAGTGCTCATCTCTGTTTCTTAGCTGAGGGAGACAGGGCTGTCTGAAGACATTTCTGTAGTCATATGACCACATGACTATATGCTGAGATGCACAGAACTGTGTTACCTTCCCACTGAAGTGGTACTTATTTATCTACTCACATTTGCATGCTTTCAAACTGTTAGGAGGCAGAAGCTGGGATACATAATGGGAGCTCATCCTGATGCATGATGCTCACCTCTTGAACTCGGGCTGTCAGCTTTTCAGTTGACAAGCTCAGCGTGTTTAACCACTGAACCATAGTGCCCCCTACAAGGAAAACTGTACCATTCTAGAAAAAAAGTCCTGTTATCTGAGTTCATAGCATACTAAATAGCAAAGCCAGACTCCTTTCTTTTTCTAAGAACTTAACGTGATAACTGGCTCACACAATTTGCTAAAATAATGATTGAGCTCTTGCAACAAGCTAAAATCCCAAGTACTCAACCCCATTTTATCCTCTCTAATATGTTTATAAATAAGGCTATTGTGTTATATAAATCCCTAACTATATAGCTATAGGAGTAAATTGGATTATAATCTGCTGCACTCTTTGTAATATCTGCAGCACAATTTAATTTCCAACTCTTTTGTTATAAAAGATTAAAAAAATTGTAAACCTTGACTGAAATCTTCTGTATTGAGAGGTTAAGGAAGGAACAGAATAACTATTTTAGAAGTACTGATTTCTATATTTCACAGACTTTATTTAACACTAACTGCTAAGGAGAGGGGATGAGGGAAAAGAAATAAAATGCTTGGTGGACTACATACATAGCCAAAGTTCTTTGCACCTCTTGGAACTCCAGCTACCAGCTCTGAAAGAAATGAACAGGCTGAAAGTTAACTTTGTATAATATCTTCGCACATAGTCATTACTCAGGAACTGCTGGCTATTCATTTTAATAATTTAAGGGGATGTAAGTAACATCTGGAGAGAGATATAATTATCATTAAGTATAGTATTACTATTCATATGGGCGTGACATGTTTGACAAAAACATTTTTAAAATCCAACTGCAAGAAGCTCTAGGAACAATGTGCAAAATAGTAAGTTTACAAGAGCACAAGTGATATACATACATTTGCAAATTTTCAGTTCAAATAATCTGTTATTTGATGGAGGATGTCCTTACTTGCTGATGAGCCTTATTGATGGTCAAACCAATAAGATATAAAAGGCATTCCTGCTTTTATTTATTCTACATGAGAGGGCACACTATCCCACTCTGGCCTTAGTATAGTTCATATGGAGGGGAGGAGTTTCTTTTTTTCTAACAAAAAAAATTATGGGTGCTATTGTACGATTATTTGGAAGTAACGATGCAAAACTACCCACTCTCTGTGGTCTCTGGATGGAGATTCGTGAATCTCCATCCATTCGTGAATCTCCATCCAGTTAAAGGTGATACAGAGCAAATGTTTAGCTTAGTTCTCATACAATCAGTTGGGAGAAAATATGAAGCCTGAGGCCAAACCATATCACTGAGTTTTTGACAATATCCAAGAAAAAACCGAACCCTTTCTAACACTCAATCTGCTATCTACCTGAAAAGAAAAGAGATCTACATCTATGTGGCTGAAGCCCAGATGTTCCTATTTGGCAACTACAACTGCTATCATCCCTGTGCTAAGAATAATGGGAACAATAATCCAACACATCTGGAGTCTATTAGATTGGTTAAGGTTATTCTACATTGATGACTTTCAGAGCTTGATCTGGAAATCTACAAAATATAGTTCAGGACAGGAATGACAAAATGATTGGTAACTTCATTATACATCTGGAAGTTCCAAATTTTTTTAAATAGAATCTTTTTCGATGGAAAATTCCGTAAGGACTCATATGAACAATATATTTATAGATTATAAATGAGACACAGGAATTAACATGGAATGTTAAACTGAATTTATCTTCCAATTGATTTTACTGGCATAAATGCCAGCTAATATCTCTGTAAAACAACATCGTTTTTGGTCTATGCAAGACTTTAAGTAAATAAGTGGCTCACAAGTAATTATGCAGTCTTACAATTTAAAATTAATAAATTTCTTATTTTGAGAAGGAAAAATGTAAGGCTGTATTCTAGCTTGATCACTGAACCACTTTTGAGATAACAACTGTTTGTTAAGAGCTGCACAATATGCATACGATCATACTGCAAGTAAGTAAATTGTAACCAGATCTCTCAGTAGCTTCTTACCTTCATGAAGATCTCCAGTAAATTCACCAGCAGCCACTGAGTAACCTGTTTAAGAACAGACCTACAAAGATGAAATCTGACAATCTATTTCTAAAGAGATAAGGATACTCAGATCTATCCTCTTATTTTATCTCTGCAAGAAAGACATTATAAATTAAAATATATAAGGCTAGTGAATGGTAAATATCTCAGAAGCACAATACATCTACAGCAGTCTTTCTTACCCTTGGTAAATTTAAGATGTGTGAACTTCAACTCCCACAGTCACCCAGCTCAGCATACTGGCTGGGAAATTCTGAGAGTTGAAATCCACACATCTTAAACTTGCCAAGGTTGAGTAACACTGATCTACAGAATGAGATGTACTTTTCTACAACTAAGAAAAAGATTGAGTATAAGATCATAACATAAGAGATGAATGTATTAATAGTTCATCATTCACTTAAATGTAATGTATCATTGTCATCATGGGATGCTCAGTTCCACTACATGACATTCGTGTACACTCCCTTCCAAAGAAAATTTCTTAGAGCACAAATGAGCCCAATGCAGTGTTGTATGTCTGACATAAGATCTGAAAATACTCCTTTACCTATGTTTCTATTAAATAACCAGAAACTCACTATTTCTTTAGCTGCCTTGTTGCAATCTGCAACCTTTTCATCATTTTGGGAAGCAGATTCCTTGTCTACCTCACTCAACCTGTGCACTCAACCTGTGCACTCAACGATTCCATTCCTACATACACACATTCCCACCTAATTGATTCTGCTAAACCAATCTCTAATCAAGATAAAATTAAGGAATATAATACTGTTTGGGGCAGACCCTAAGATGGCATGACTGGACTGGAAGTGTTAACATACTATGGAAAATAAACCCTGAACTAATAATAGTCAAATAAATAACATTCTGAGCATTACTTTTATTCCTTATGGGTTTTTTCATATTTTATCTTTTTTATAATATTCTTGTCATGTTTTATCTTTATGCTTGTTTCATATTTTATTTTTTTTATACCAGTACATATGCATATAGAAATATATATATTTACCTGCCATACTGTATGTATGAGTATAATCAGGGCAATGCTACTTACTGAGTTTTTTCTATCCTTCTATAATATTCTGTTTTAAAATGATTTTCAGTTATTACTTCACTAACATAGAATGGCACTGTTATTTTCCAAAACTGTTTTTTATGAATGATAATTTAATGCATTTTATGAATTCTGTGACTTCACTGTCATCTGTGTCTACAGTATGCTTGACATTTAAATTAATATTTCATACATCTGAGGAAGTGAATTCTGGCCCATGATAACTGATATTATAATATATGTGTTAATTTTTAAAAGTGCCCCAAGGTTCTCTTGATTTTCTTCAACAAACTAGCATAAGAATCCATTCACAGTTGCATGGAGGATTCAGGCAGCAAACTGAAGATGTAACAAAGTGGAGTTCAAATTAAACCTTATGGTAGATAGAGCCAAAGACAGATGAACTGCAAGAGCTATTTTCTCAGTCTTCCGTTACAGGTATTACAATCATTTTTTTCATGAATTAATCCACTGCAGATTATAATGAATGTGATCTTTTAAATTATATATTCAGATAGTTTTCACTTACTATCTGCCTCATTTATCAATCACCCAAAGTTATGATAATATTAAAAATAGCTTTGCAACCAGTCCCCACATTTGTTACTGTCATAATGTCTGATACTCATGTGAGCACCATTCATCCATTGCAATTTCACACATTTATGACTGTCGCATCATGACATGGCCACATGATTGTTACTTGTGTGCTTGCAACTAGTTTGGGACAAGCAGACTTACTAGGGAAGGGGGAAATTAAATTGTATGTCTTGGTCATATGATGTTTTCTTGATCAATTACGGTGCTTGCTTAACAATCAAACAGGAAGGAAGGTTGTAAACCCATTGTCATTTGATTTTCCATTTAGTGAGGAGTTGCTGGTCCCAATTTGGTTGCTAAGTGAAGACCATTAATACAAAAATATTCTGACAAAGTGTTTGAATATAACAATTTTCCATATATAAATTTATGGAACTGACCGTTTATTGTTGGACAAAGAACAAGCATCAGTTCATGTTTTAAAGGCATATATTCATATCAAATGTTGAACTGATAATGCAATATTTTGATTTATATTCATAACAATGGACACACTGTATGTATAGGTGTGTTCTGAGCCTCTCATGCTTAATAAGAGCAAATATTTTCTTATATCAGATTTTTAAACAAGATCAGTGCCAGCAAAATCACCATATAACTTACCCAAATAATTATCATCATATATAGATGGGGCCACTCCAGTTTGCTTTTCCTGTAATAGGTTCTTTAGAATATTCTTGAAGGAATAATCTGTGATAACATCTGCAATGTTGCTGGTGATAACCTGACCTGAGATTCAAAAATATAATAAAATTGTCCTGCAGGGCAACTAGAGAAATACAGGCAGCAATTATGTATTAGATTATAATCCTGCCTTTATTATTTTATACGTAACTCAAAATGGGGATCAAACACAATTCTCCTCCTGCTATTTTCCCCCAATAGATCAGTGAGATAGTTTGGATTGAGAGAGAATGATTTACCTAAAATCACCCAACCAGTATTCACTTTTTAAATTATTTATTTATTATTAAATTTTTAGGTTACCCATCTTTCCTATAAGGTAATTCTGGGCAACCTAAAAAACAATAATTCATAATTAATATTAATTGATAGGAACTGTACGGAAATGCAAAACAATTGTTGATTGCTTCGTAGTCTATAAGAAAGTAAATGTGAGAAGAATAATGGAGGCAATGGTAAATATAGCATGAACAATGCAGTAAGTTTTTCTATATAGATGCCTAAATTTATCCTGCATTTTCAGCTGCTCATGGATCTTTCTTCAGGACCTGCTGAAAATATCCATCTTGAAACTGACACAATAGCAACAGCAATAGCACTTAGACTTATATACTGCTTCACAAGGCTTTACAGCATATTGTCCTCATTTTACCAACCTCGGAAGAATGGAGGGCTGAGTCAACCTTGAGCCAGTAAGAATTGAACTGCCGAATTGCTGGCAGCTGGCAGTCAGCAGAAGTAGCCTGCAGTACTGCATTCTGACCCCTGCATCACCACTGCTCTCAATGTACTAATACCATACCACAAAAACTATTCTAGATTAAGATACATTGGTATTTTATTTTTTTAAATGATGCTATTCCAAAACATATCCATGCTACATTTTTCAATTAACTCTACAAAACCAACATTGCAGTGATTGTGTAAAGTTAGATTAACCAGAGGGCAATGACTTTGCAGAGGATTCTGATGGTCAAAGACCAGATAAACCACTTCCCCTTTCTGCTTCCCTTCCCCAGTTCTTCCTCCCACACCTACAAAAATCAGAGACCTGACTTCTGCACTTTGAAAAGACCACCTCAACTTATTATGTAACTCTTAAAAGAGATTTAATATAAATAATTTACAAAGAATAACTATAGCTTTTCCTGTCCCACAAAAAAACCCTAATAATAATAATAAATATCCTGCTTTGTTCTCTTAATATTTGTCTGCCTATTGTTTCTTCTTTTGCAAAATGTAAAATAGAATAAAATAGAATAACAGAGTTAGAAGGGACCTTGGAGGTCTTCTAGTCTAACCCCCTGCTCAGGCAGGAAGCCCTATACCATTTCAGACAAATGATTGTCCAATCTCTTCTTTAAAACTTCCAGTGTTGGAGCAATTGCAACTTTTGGAGACAAATTGTTCTACTGATTAACTGTTCTAACTGTCAATTAAATATTCTAACTGTCTGGCCTCTAAATGTGGTTGTCTTGCTTGCTTTTGCCTTTTTGCCTCTTAATACAATAAATAAATAAATAAAATTTGGTAAATGCTCATGTATGTCTTTTATCCATCACAACCCCAACAGATGTTGTAAAGTAAAAGGATTAAAGAAGGATAAAACATATCGAATTGGGGGTAATAAGAACTGCAGGTAGAAACTGTACAAACTCCTGCCCTAAAAGGCTTACATTATCTTAATATAACTTGTATCTCAAAATATATGAAAAGGTAGGAGCATAGGAGCAAAAGATAATACGTCTGTTTGTAAATCTAAAGAATATATGGACATGTAAATAATATCAATAGTCTTGGAATAGCTAGGTAGGGCTGGTATAGTTCTAGTCTGAAGTCCTGTAAGACAACTCATATCATGTCAATTGTTTTAAGGATAGTTGGACCAAACAGTTTGATTTAGGACAATTTCTATTTCTTAACTTCACCAACTGCTAGCAGATGGGAATAGAACTGTAAATATTGGAAATAAAGAAAAGAAAGAAGCTGCAGCGATAATTACCTATTCAGAGTGGTCATTCACAAAACACTTGGTGTGAAAGAGATATTTCTGCAATGAATAGCAGACAGACCTATGAAGTGTAATAATAATTCTTTTGTCTGATTTAATATATGGCTAATAGAATGTAATAGATACATATGTTGTTTATCTTGTCTACAACACAGCAGAAGAAAGTACAAATTTGTTCATGCCTTTTACTCTTATTGAATAGAATGTAAAATATTCGAAGATTTCACAATTCAAAGTTTAATTCTGAAAGCAATCCAAATCTTGTCAATTTACAGAGATATAAAAGAATGAATGGACCAAAATATGGAGTCCTTTGAGATTGACTCAGATGTAAGTCATGTGTTGTGAGATGGGAATTATTCTACAGAAACTATGGTAGATATTGCATCACAGGTTCTGCTGATACTTCACTTCCATTTTCAGATTTTTGCTAATGAAAAAGATGAACATACCTTGCCAGTAAAAACTGCCAGGCCCTCCTAATATGAATTCTCCATTCTGTACACAAGACAGACAACAGCAGCAAAAACTCAAAATTAATAATTTACACCAGAGGCCAAAATTAAATACATAAGAATCATCCAAACAATTAATATTATTAATATCACAATTATAACCAGGGGGGAAATATAAGAAATTTCCCACTGCCTGGCTGTTACTGAACAATATAACCAAACCTCATGCTGTCCATACTTGCTGGAAAATGAAATCCCTGGATAGCCTTTGCTAACTGGAAATCCTGACAGACGTAATTAATTGTAACTGCACAATTCTAGATATCTGCGCTATAGCATATACATTATTGCAATTAGAGCCACTGTTAAAAAGGGTATTTTTGATATTTCTTTGGGAATGATAGAAAGATGTTGAATAGAACTGAAATGAATGCAGTAAACTTTAGTGTCCAAGAAAACATGCATTAAAATTAAGTTATAAATATTGCAACAATATTGAAAAATGACAAGGTTGCAGGTATAAATGGCATAATTTAAGAAATGCTTAAATATATGATAGGCTTTGCAAAATTGCTTCATATGTGTATGCAGACTGGTTCTAAACTTGACAATGGGAAGAATATCAGTATTGTTCAATACAAAGGACAAAGAAGGATGCAAAAATTACAGGAGGGATGTGGGGTTTTTTCATTTGAACCTGGGAAAGTGTTTCTCTCTCTCTCTCTCTCTCTCTCATATTTTGCTCCCTTTCTGTGACTTAAGTTTACATCTGTGATGTAAGTTTATTTACCCTGAAAGTGAACAGTTTGATGGATATGGATATAGATAAATATTCTTAAATTGCTTTTTATTCATATTAGAACAGATAGCCCATGGATACAAAGGGAAGCTTAGAAACTGAAATAATTGCAACAAAAGTAACAGCAACAATTGCAACAATTGAATTGCTGCAATGCACTCTACATAAGGCTGCCCTTAAAGAAAATCTGGAAGCATTGGAACAAAATATGCTGAGTTGAGCAGTTATGGATGCCAGTCATTTAGGCATTATGTGACACTTCTACTCTGTGAGTTGCATTGGCTACCAATATATTTCTGAGTGCAATTCATGGTGTTGCTGGTTCCTTTAAAGCTGCTTAAAGGCACTGAGTCATCTCTCCCCAGTAGTGTCTACTTGTCCTGTTAGATCTGACAGGAGAGGCATACTCCAGGTCTTTCCAGTAAAGTTCAGTCTGGGGGACCCAAGAACTTTTTATACTATGGCTCACACCTTTTGAAATATCATTCCTCTGAGATTAGATATGTCCTGACTTTGCTGACATTTATAAATAAATAAAAACAAACAAACTTAAAAACTTGGCTTTGCTATCTAGCCTGGGGCTCTGGCAGTGACAATGAGTCTGTTTCATTGTTTATTTGAATGCAGAATGTTATGTTTAATAGCAGCATCTATCTAACACACAAGGGTAATAAAATATCTCCATCATGTCATCACAGCTTCATCTAGTCCTGCCTCTGCCAACCAACATTAGCTTGTAAGGACATGAAGTGGGCTTCAATTTTTGCTCAGATTTGTAGCTAGAAATTATAATTATTGTATATGTTTTTGTTTGAATAAGGACAATAAACATTTGGCCCCTGGCCAAAACTTCATCTAATATCACTGATCTTGTCAACAAAAACTGCCTGTTTTTATTAGGACTGTTAATCAAACACAGAATTTGTAACTGATTAATTTCTTCCTTCAAGAAAACATATTCTCTCTTTGGTGCAAAAAGAAAACTGTACATTTTCCATTTGGATGCCTGCCTAGGATTAGTATAAGAACTGGGGGAAAAGCCAGTTTTTAAGAGTCTTTGAATGAAACTTGAGTTTTTAGGAGTCTTGAGATTTTTGAGACTCAATACAATGTGGTTTTGTGTGTGTGGTTGTCTTTGTTACACAAATATGTTTGAGATGAAAAATGATGAATTGCAGAAGAAGGTAAATATGAGAGTGAATGTAAAAATGATTAGAAAATCCAGCAACCAGCCAACCACTGTGGATGCTCACCTTATAAAAATCTAAGCTGAATCCTGCTTGACAGTAACCTTGCCCCTCAGGATCTGGGTTGTCTGAAAGTATCAAAGAATGACACTGAGTTAGTTTTACATTATAATTTGACTCAAATATTAACATAACTATTAAGGGAGGAGTTAACAAGCTTCAAATGCAATCTCTTTTTGTGCTAAAAGTCAGGTAATAATTGTTAGATGAATTCTAGATTCAATGTACAGTAAAATAAGAATAATGACAATGATAATGATAATATATGATAATCCAAAGTCAAAATAAAAACCAGTGTGTGAGTTTTGGCAAGGAAACCTAAATCTAAGCAACAGGTTTATATTTGGAAGATCCAAAGATGAAAATGAAATCCTTGGTTTGGTTTATTTCTACACCAGTCTGAGTTGGAGAAAGGACTTTGGATTGTACACATTTTGGCTGCAGTCCATCATAGTCAGAGAATCTGCAGAGGGGCCAGAATAGTCAAGATGGCAACTACAATCACATGATCAAAGTACCACTTTTTTTGCATATAACATGCATATAAAATAGAGATAGCTGCTGTTTTGAGCCTCTTTGGCCTATGGTACATTCTTATGCAAACAACTGCTTTTCATATATGACAAACATCTTCATGGGTGCACTGAAGAATGACAATTAGAAGACCTGCAGTAATTGTGCAATTCTTTGTAAATCTAGCGGTGTCCCATTCCATAATGTATAACTCCCTTGTTCACAAACATAATTATCTTTATTCAAGGTCAAGGAGTTAACTGTTAATTCTACAAAAAGAGATAGAGAGAAGGATGGCTATATCTATAGAAATCAGCTGCTTTTAAAATTTGGCTTCTGCTTATCAAGGTCTATTGGCCATATTGATCATTTTTTTAAATTAAGCCAGAGTTGACTTATCATCACTGTAGCACCAGCCTCATAGTCAAAGAACTTACTGTTGCGACAAGGAGAATATTCTGCATAGGTAGTAAAATTCTGAATAGCAACATAGCAGGTGCCCACTGGATCTTTTTCAGGTGCAGCCTTCAGAGTCCTCCAGTGATATAAGGGAGCACAAGCCTATCAAAATATGAGTTGCAACAAAAAATGTTTAGATGTTTGGATTAGGTTTATAGTATAGTAATTTGTATAGTTATAAATTAATAATTTGTGTAGTAATTTGTGTAAAAGATACAGATGTATTATTTAGAAAACCAGGTTATTTATTGCTTTCTGAAGTATATTGACACTGCTAGATTGATTGGACTCTCCGCAAGATGCATATTTCCACATCGACTGCTCTTTTTCTTGCTCTGTCCTGTCCTTCATTCATGTTTAGGAACAACTATCCTTCAGGTTCCAGTTTGTTAGTTGTAGTAGTTTAAATAGTTATAATTTAAAAAAATTAGGCAATGGAGCAGAGTTGAAAAAAATTCCCCCTGAACCATCAAATAGTTGTTCTAATCTATATGCATTCACTACTAGATTTATATCCCATCTTTATCCTGGAGTTCAAGAGCTATACACAACTTGCCTTTCTGGAACTTTCCCTATGGACTAGAACTGAGCTACAAAATGCTAATAGAGGTAGTCCTTATGACTGTTACTTAATGAACATTCAAAGTTATGAGAGATCACCACAGAGGTACTTATAATCCCTTTTCAGAGTTATGAAATCCACACAGGTCTCCTGTGATCACATGATTACATTTTGGGTACTTGGCAACCAGTTCATCTTGAGTGTTGTTTACAGAATCCTGTGATCACATGACCACAGTTTGTGAAGTTTTGTATTGGTTTCTTGTATTTATTTCTGGTTTCCAGCAAAAAATACCCAAAAAAGAAAATGGATTCACTTAATGACTGTGGTGTTCACTTAAGACTGTGTTGCTTACTTCACAATTGCAATATTTACTAAATGGCTTCCCTAAACAATGCCATTACTTTGAATCCTGAACTTCAATTTACGACCTTATTTTCAGGCTGAATTGTGATTGTTGAGTACTACCTATAGTACTGTTGTAAAATGTTACACTGTCCCCATCCTAGGTCATATGATCACATTTCAGGGGCTTGGTCATATTTATAATTGGTTGAAGTGTCCCATGGTCATGTGACTACAATTTGTGACATTTTTGCCAGTTTCTAGCAAAAATACTCATTCAAGAGAAAAATTTGCACTTATGACCATGTGATTCACCTAATTACTGCCATCAAAATGGACATCTGGCTGCCTTGTATAGGAAATATAGTGAGCTTTCCTAATTGTCTGTCTCTCTGCCTAATAGAGTGGTAATGGAATATTGAAAGAAATACTGAAATAAAGGATAATGGAATATCCTTTTATGCTCGAAAAATCTAATAAACATTACAAATCACTGATCAAGAGAGTTTACAAATAGCTATCTATTTGTATGCAGTAAACCAGGAGTTGTCATTACCAGCAAATTTCTTCAGCAATCCCACTGCCTTTTTTTTTAAGTTTACTTTTTCAATGAAGGGCTTTTTAAAAAAGAGGATTACAGCTGGGTATATTGTCCAGTTGGGATTGCAAACTTAAGAAATATCCTTAAACTGTTACATATGTTGGCAAGAAACCAAATTAACTAGGGGGCTTATTTCTTGGGTGTGACTGTGGATATTTCTGTTGGATACATGACACCCTCTCTTGAGATGAAAACAATAGAGAAGAAAGCTGGCTACCTCTTTGGACTGCCACTTATGGACTGGGCACCCTTGCAATTCTTCTTAAAGAGATGGCTCTTATTTTGGAAATGCCTGGATTCTGACCCTTTCTTTGGATATTTGATATTTCATGGTTTTATCTTATTTTACCATTTATTTTAAGATAGTTTGAGAATATTACACTGCAACTGATGTAGTTTTTGTTTCAAAAGGGAGCAAATGGATACTTTTGCTTATTACAGTTAAAGACAAAGAAAGTTAAATACAGACGAAAAGGTATTTAGGATAAGTTCTGCTAGTATAATGGTATACAAAACATATATTACAAAGGTATCATAAGTGTCCCGTTCTCATTCAGATCAGAAATTCTTACTACTCAGAAAAACAAGGCACATGGAATAATAATATTTTGTTATAAGTAGTTCCTCACAAGCTCTACAATTCTGCAAGAGATATACAACTAAGGGTAAAGATGTGAACTTTATCTTATCCTTTGGAAGAAAATGCCCTTTATTTATCAGCTGGCAAAAATTATTTTGTGATATTTTATGTATCCTTTGCTTTTGATACTCATTTTGTGTAAGGAAATCAATACTGCATTTAAAAAAAAAAGGAAGAATGGGAGAAAAAAGAGGAAAATATGCAAAGAAAGGTAAATCAGTTTGGAATGTGAGAGCAGGGACTGCTTGAAGACTTGTGGGAATTTCACATGCCAACAAGCTCTGTAACAAGATAGGGTGATGTTTTATTCATCACCTGCTTTATGTCAAAGTCCTTTTCTAGGGTTAAGCATATGAGCGAACATTTCAAGCAAGGCATTTCCTTTAGATACACAAACTTATTTAGAAATAATTCAAACCATTTTGAAACAAATCCCCAAGACAATAGTTGCTGTTTCATAATTGTTTGGGAAAATTACGCATGATCAAATCCACAGTTCGAAACACGAAATGTTTCGTTTCCTTTCTGAAGCTTTGCATTAAATCTTTCTATATTAGCTTCTAATATGAAATGCCTCTTATAACTTAATCAAACTGCTTAAAAAACCCAGATTGTTATAAGGTTTCAGCTGGGGATTTCCATCGAAGCACGTAGAAGAAGCTATCCAAGGATTTATGAAAGAAACTTCAGATTTAGCGCCATAGCTCCATTGATTCTACTATAGTAGAGCAATAGTTCTACAACTGTGAGGAACATTCTCCAACTGAGGTAATGGTAAGCCAGGATTTATTGAATAAAATCACAATAAATCTTAATGAATTATTTGCAATGGCTAGATTCATACAGCGCATTCAGTCAGCTGTTTTATTTTAAAAAAGAAAAGCTGCTTTCTAGACTCTCCAAGCTATTCCTGTCATCTTACTAGCCAGACTACTCAGACCAGGGTCCCCAACACCCAGGCCATGGACCGGTACCAGTCCCGGGCCTGTTAGGAACCAGGACGTTCAAGTGGCAGGAGAGTGAGCAAAATTTTATCTGTGCATGGGCAGAATCTAAGTTGCGCATGAAACTATCCCCCTCCCCAGTCCGTGGAAAAATTGTCTTCCACGGAACTGGTCCCTGGTTCCAGAAAGGTTTTTACTTAATAACAATTATTTATATATCTTGGATTCAGAATGAAATTTATTATTTCATTCAGATTTTAAACAGTTTAATGAAGAGAAGGACAAGGGGGGACATGATAGCAGTGTTCCAATATCTCAGGGGCTGCCATAAAGAAGAGGGAGTCAATCTATTTTCCAAA